GCCCCCGCCCGCCGCCGCCCGCCACCTGGGAGAAGAGGAGGAAGCCGGCCTCGTCACAGGGCAGCATGTCGTCCACCAGCACCGTCGTCCACGTGCCGTCCTTGCACAGCCGCACCTGGTAGGCGCCCTCGGCACACAGGCTGCGCGTGACCATGACCCGCTCCACCAGGTCGGGCCGCTCGGCCAGCACGGCCAGCGCGCTCAGGAACCTGCACAGAGCCGGGCGGTGAGCACCGGGGCCTGCGCGCCGCCCAGCCCCCCGCGGGCGCCCGGCTCACCAGCAGTTCCCCAGCAGCCCCTGCAGGATGTCCGAGGGCCGGAGGGTGTGGAACACGGACCACGAGGTGCTCTGGTCCCTGGACACGGAGCCGTTGATCTCGTGGGGACGCAGCCACTGCCGCACACGCTGCTGGACGCTGTCGCCCACGGGGAAGCCCACGGACGCGGGCCCCGGGGGGAAGCTGTCGTCCACGAAGTTCACGCCATTCTGCAGGGGCCGCGACCTCACACTCAGGCTCCCCCGGCTGCACCAGCCCCACTACCCGGGAGACCGGCCCGAAAACGCTCCAGGACGGAGAGGGTGGGGGTGTGCAGCCAGCCTAAGGGCTGCGGAGGGCTCGGCCGGGGCTTGTGTGGGCCACGCCACCCCGTGTGGGCCTCGGGAACCGCAGCCCCTGGACACCGCACAGCCCCGGCTGGAGGCCACGGGGCGGTGTGCGTGGGCCGCGGGAACCCGGGTGGCTCCCCCAGCCGTGGATGCCCCGGTGAGAGAAGCGGGGACGCGGCTTGGGTGCGAAGCCAGGACCTGAAACCCCAGTGTCCGGCTGGGTGGCTGACGGTGACGGTGGGGACAGAGAGCCCCTCCAACTGACCCCGGGGGCAGTGCTGCCCTGAGCTCTGGCCTCCCCAACACCCACAAGGGCAGAAGAGCGTGAGGGAGTGTCGCGTCCCATTTCAGCAGGGTTCTGTGGCCCGAGGAAGCACGGCCGCCTGCTGGGGCGGAGCCTCCACCCACATCCTCCCCTCCTGGGGCTTCACCATCTGTGCCACATCGCCTGAGAAGGGTCAGGAGCGCAGACCATGGGGTCACGGACCCCCGTGGGTACAGAGAAGGAAGGGGCAAGATGCGGGGGACAGGGACTGGGCCGCTGCTCCAAGCCCGGGGACAGAGGTGCCGGCCCTCTGGGGCAGGTTCCTCCCTCTCCCCGGCCTCCTCCCTACAGAAGGGACACTGGGGAAGGACAGAGGACGTGAATGCCCTGACTGAGGGACCGGGGACGTGCCCAGAGAGGAGCCCACGGGAAGGGGAGAGCTGGCCTTGGGGCGTCGACACCGTCCTGGGGGCACTCACCTCCCGGCAGAAGGCCACGATGTTTTCCCAGAGGGCCTTGGCCTCCCCCTCGTCTGTCTGCCGCCGCTTCTCCACGTGTATGCTCTCCCTGCGCCTCAGGGGCGCCACGCCCCGGCGCTGGGCCACCAGGAGCTGCGGCGTGTGACAGGCAGCGCAGTGCTTGGCCCGTGGCGTGTTGAGCAGAGTGCAGGCAGGGCAGGCCCACTGGCTCGGGCGTTCGGTGGGCAGCGCGGGGAGGGGGCCGCCAGGCCTGTGGGCGGAGCAGGGCCCAGACCTGTCGGCGCTGCAGTCGGGGCAGCGGCCGGGGGGCTCGCCGTGCTCCTGGAAGCCATGCAGCTTAGAGCAGCCGCAGGCTGTGCACCTGGGGACCGCGGTGGGGTTCTTGAGCGTGCACTTGGCGCACGACCAGGTGGTGAAGTCAGGGCTGGAGGGGCTGGCCGGCTTGTAGCGCACCGTGTCCCCGGCCAGGTCAATGACGTCGCTGCTGGGCGCGGCACCACAGTCCTCGCAGCGGGCCGGGCTGGAACGCCCGGGCACAGAGCAGGAGCCACACCGGGGCCGTGCCGGGCTGCCCTCGGTGGCCTCCTCCTCCAGCATGCCCAGCCGCTTGCCGGACAGCAGCTCCGCCAGGCGGGAGGCTCCGGCCGCAGTCCGCCCCGGGCCCTGGGGGAGCCCCTTGGAGCCGGCAGAGGAAGAAGGCTGGGGAGCCTCAGGCACCAGTGGCTGCAGCTGGGGGGGCACCTCACGGCGGCTACGAGGCACTGGGTGGTTCTGCAGGGTGGGCGAGAAGGGGCTGAAGGAGGGTGCCCGGGGGGGCTCCTGGTCGGTGGCAGAGGGAAGGTCAGCTTCGGCGCCTTCCCCGGGCTGGGCTGGGGCAGCTATTACGTGGAAGCCAGCGGGGGCCACGACCTCGGGGACCACCAGGGCCTCAGGAGGGATCCTGGGCAGTGAGAGTTTCCGGGGGCCCCCGCAGGCGGAGCAGGAGCTGGCCACAGGCGTGTTGTGCAGGGTGCAGCGCTGGCAGGCCCAGCCGCTCCCGGGCTCGGCCGCCCCCTCCTGCTCCTCCTCCTCCTCCTCCTCCTCCTCCTCTTCGGGCTGCCCCCGGGCCGGCTCTGCAGACACCAGCCCCACTGTCCTCCCGGGACCGGCTTCCTCCTTGCAGCTGCCCCTGGGCTCCGCCAGGACCCCGTTGATGACAGGCAGCAGGGAGGCACGAGGCACAGGCTCTGGGGCAAAGCCACACACCTCACAAGTCTCCTTGCCCAGGAAGTTCCGGAATGTGCAGCGGGCGCAGGGCCATTTCTGCTCCTCCACGCTGAGCCTGAGGATGTGGTCGAGGTCAGGCTTGTGCCGCGGGGCCTCGCAGATGGAGCACTGGCGCTGGCCAGCCGGGTTCAGGAAGGTACAGCGCGCACACGACCACTCCCCAACTGTGGCCATGGACCCGGGCGAGTGTGTGTGGCTGCAAGGGAAGGTCCCAGTCAGCGGAGGCCCAGGAAGGGGCCCAAGTCTCCACCTGGGACCAGGGGCCCCAGGATCAGGCCCAAGAAGCAGGCTCTGAGTGGTTTGAGGACATGAGGAGTTGGGGGGCCCCCAGGGGACCTCACAGGTCTGTCCTTAGACCCCTCCTGGAGGCAGAGGGATGGGGCGGAACCTCATGGTCCTGGTGGCCATGGGGCCCTGCTGGGGAGGCGGTCTTTGATCAGTCCCAGCAAAGCGCCCACGTGAACTTCCTCGACAGGTAAAGGGCGCCCTCAAAAACCCACAGCAAACGTCACACCCAGTGCGGACACTCTGTGGGCTTCCCTCCCAAGACCAGGAGCTCAGCGCTGCCGGTCAGCGCTATGCCAGAGACCCAGCCAGAGCAACTCGGCGGGAAAAAGAGATGGAAGGCATCCAACGGGAAAGAAAGAAGTAAAACTACCTCTGTTTGCAGATGGCATGATCCTACACACAGAATTCCCCAAAATCCACCAAAAAAAACCTACTAGAGCTAATACATGAATCCAGTGACATCATACGGCATGAGACCGACATGTGACCATCAGTCAGTGGGCTTTCCCTGCCAGCAACGAGGAGCTCAGCAGCCTGGAGAAGGCAAGTTAGAAGAACAGCATCACTTTATCTAAAATAACCAAGGGATACGTTTTAAAAAGGAGAAAACTTGGGGCGCCTGGGTGGCTCAGTGGGTTAAGCCTCTGCCTTCGGCTCAGGTCATGATCTCAGGGTCCTGGAATCGAGCCCCGCATCGGGCTCTCTGCTCAGCGAGGAGCCTGCTTCCCCCTCCCCCCTCTGCCTGCCTCTCTGCCTACTTGTGATCTCTGTCTGTCCAATAAATAAATAAAATCTTTAAAAAAAAATAAAAAAATAAGAAGGGAAAAACTTGCACTCTGACCGCTACAAAACATGACTCAAAGAAATCACAGAACACCTCAATGACCAGACAAACACCCAGTGTTCACAGAATGAAGACTTAACACGGTCAAGACGACAGTCCATCCAAGCGGCCTACAAATTCACAGGTGCAATGCAGTCCCCTCAAAATCCAATGGCCTGCCCCCCCAGGAATGGAAAAAGCTGATTTTGAAATTCATATCAAATTGCAAGGACTTGCCCGCCCCCCCCCCCCGCCCCGCTACCAAGTAGCCAAACTAGTCTCAAAAGAGGGAAAATGGAGACAGGGGTCCCAGCACAAGGACAGACTGCAAGTCTGCGTATGGTCCGTGCAGCCAGGAGGACAGAACTGGAGAGCCCAGAAACACACCCTCACATATGGTCAAGTCATTTTATTTTTTACTTTTTTAAGTAGGTTCCATGCCCAACATGGGGCTCGAACTCACAACCCCCAGATTAAGATCCTTGCGCCCCACTGACTGAGGCAGCCAGGCACCTGTGGTCCAGTCATTTTAGGCAGACCACTCCGTGGGGAAAGGGCAGTCTTCTCCACAGACGGTGCTGGGAACTCAGGACCTCAAGCAGTAAAGAATGCAGCTGGGCCCTTACCTCACACTGTATGCAAAAATTACCTCAGAAGGGATCAATAACCTAAATGTAGAAGTGAAAACCAGAAAACTCTTAGGAGATAAACTAAGGAAATTTTGTGACCCCAAGGGATGCCTGGCTGGGTTAGTCAGGGGAGTGTGCAACTCTTGACTTGGGGTCGTGAGTTTGAGCCCTGCACTGGGTGTGGAAATTACTTGAAAATGAAACCCTTAAAAGAAAAATTCTGGGGTGCCTGGGTGGCTCAGTGGGTTAAGCCGCTGCCTTCGGCTCAGGTCATGATCCCGGGGTCCTGGGATCGAGCCCCGCATCGGGCTCTCTGCTCTGCAGGGAGCCTGCTTCCTCCTCTCTCTCTCTCTCTCTGCCTCTCTGCCTACTTGTGATCTCTGTCTGTCAAATAAATAAATAAAATCTTTGAAAAAAAAAAAGCAAAAAGAAAAAATTCTGGGGCGCCTGGGTGGCTCCGTGGGTTAAGCCTCTGCCTTCGGCTCAGGTACTGGGACGGAGGCCGACGCGGGGCTCTGTGCTCAGGGGGCGCCTGCTGGAGGTTCTCTCCTCCCGCGCCTGTGCCCAGCCCCAGCTCACACACGCCCTCTCTCTCTCTCTCTCTCAAAATAAGTAAAATCTTAAAAAAAAAGTTTCTGTGACCTTGAATTTGACCGTGGGTAACTGGATGTGACACCAAAAGGACAGGCAGATGAAGGAAGAAACTGGACTTCATCAACGCGAGGAACTTCCGTGCTTCAAAGGGCCCAGCGGAAGAAGTACGAGAACTCGTAAGAGAAAACATTTACGAATCAGGTCTGGCTCCAGAAAACATAAAGAACCCTCGCAACTGAGCAACAAGAGCGCGTTTCAGAAAAACGGGCCAAGGGCCGGAGCAGTCACGTCTCCAGAGGACACACAAGTGGCCGGGGAAGCACGTGGGCAGACGGAAACATGCTCAGCATCGCTGGCCACCAGGACAACGCAAACCCGATGTGGGGGACCCCACTTCACAGCCGCTGCGGCTGGGGAGCAACCACGTCGGAGGGGATGGCAGGGGACCACAAGAGCTCCCCCCTCCCCGCCTCTGCGCCAGCGGCCTGGCGGCCTCTCCCGATAAACAGTCACCACCCAACCCTGCAGTTCCACTCCTGGGCACACACCCTGACGGACCGGGAACGGGTGCCCTCGTGTGCACACACGCACTCAGAGCAGGTCCCCGCACGACAACGCAGACATCCGTCGGCACACACACACATACAGGATGCGGAATGTTATTCAGCCACATAACGGGATTCTGATGCACGTTCAGTGAGAGAAGCCAGACACAAAAGACTGCACGTTCTGGGAGTCCATGTACACGGGATCCTTACGGCAGCCGGTCCGAGGCGGTGCGAAGCCCAGGGCGCCCCAGGGCCCGGAAGTTCTGTAAGGAACACGGCGATGCAGACGTGTGGGGACGGGGTAGAGGGATGGACGCACACTGAACGTGCCTCGTGCCCTCTGAAACGGTTACTTCATGTCACATGAATTTCAGCTCCAAAAAACCAAAAACAAAACCAAAATGAGGGCTGGAGGGGAGGCCAGGGCACAAACTGGGGGGTGTCCTAACTCAGGGCTGCCGGGTGGATCCCCTAACCAACTGCCTGTCAGGTCTTTCTGGGGGCCTCTGGGCAGGCGTCTGACCACAAAAAAGCAATCCAGCAGCGCTGGAGACCCACGCACTGGGCACATTCCTGCTGAGCCCAGGCCACACGTGGGTCGTGGAGGGCCAGGCTGTCCCCGGAGGGGCGGGTCCTCTCCACTCACCTGTCCGCTGCCAACCCAGACCGCTGAGCCCCACGTGCCTGGTCCTGCAGCAGCACATGCCAGCACGGTGGGGGCCGCTGGGGGGAGGCTTGCTTTGTACCCGGCAGCCCCATGTGGCTGTAGCAGGGAGCTGTGCCCCCAGGGAGATCACTGGGGACGTGGGGCAGGGGGATGTCCAAAGGCAAACTAGGTGGGAGAAAGGGCAGGGCCCCCTCGGCTGGGAACCTGTCGCAAAGTGCTGGCAACACCCAAGCCTGGGAGAGCGAGTCCCTCCTGGGCTGGGCAGGTGCGGGGCATGTGACACTGGGGAGAGTGCCCCGCCCCACCTGGGGGTCCTGTCCCAGGTCAGAGCTGAGCTTCAGGGGCAGGCAGACCCTCATGCCCTTGTCCCAAGGGATGGCCATGCACCCCACACGTGCCAGGTGAGGACAGGGACATGGTCCTCCCCAAGTGGCTGTCTAGGCCTGTGGCACGTGTGCGTGTGCGTGTGTGTACATGCATGGGTGCGTGCGTGTGTGTGTGTGGACGCGTCTAGTGCAGCTGGAGGGCAGCTGGTGGGTGCTCCTGGCTCCTCCAGTGTGATGTGGGTCCATGTCTGGGGGCGGTGGCAGCCCCTTGACCTGCACGGGCTAATCCGGGTGCGAGGAGGGGTCTCCACAGCAGGACAGTATCTCCACGGACTGCAGCTGCTCTCCCTGGCAGAGATACCAATTTCTTAACAAGGCACGAAGCCTCGGCTTCTGATGCCGGGTTTACACCAGACCCTTTCGGCTCAGGAAGAAAACTTGTCTCTTCAAAACAAAAAAAATCAAAAACCTCCCTGATATTTACCCTAAAGATACAAACGTAGTGATCCGAAGGGGCACGTGCACCCAAATGTTTATAGCAGCAAAGTCCACAATAGCTAAACTATGGAAAGAACCTAGATGTCCATCAACAGACGAATGGATAAAGAAGATGTGGTATATATATATACACAATGAAAAACTATGCACCCATCAAAAGAAATGACATCTTGCCATTTGCGACGACGTGGATGGAACTAGAGGGTATCATGCTTAGCGAAATAAGTCAATCGGAGAAAGACAAGTATCATATGATCTCCCTGATATGAGGAAGTGGAGATGCAACATGGGGGGTTAAGGGGGCAGGAGAAGAACAAATGAAACAAGATGGGATTGGGAGGGAGACAAACCATAAGTGACTCTTAATCTCACAAAACAAACTGAGGGTTGCTGGGGGGAGGGGGGTTAGGGGGGTGGGGTTATGGACACTGGGGAGGGCACGTGCTATGGTGAGTGCTGTGAAGTGTGTCAACCTGGTGATTCACAGACCTGTATCCCTGGGGATAAAAATACATGTTTATTAAAAAAAAAATTTTTTTTTCAAAAACCTCCCTGAGCAACAAGATTACTTCCCAGGGCCCAGGGCCCTTCCCAGCCTGCGTGGCTGAGGGTCACGAGCTCCCACAGCCTTGCCCAGGGAGGGGCCATGGCAAGTGGGTGGGGCTGTGCCAGGCTGCGCCACAGGGGCACGTGGCACCAGCTGGGGGGGCAGGCCAGCTTTGGCCTTCGCTTCTGTGCTGTGAAAAGCCTAAGAAATCTTCCTGGAGACCAGGGCGCTCCCCACTCAGGGAAGGGCCCAGAGTCAAGGTGTGGGTCACAGCGGGTGCCCACAAGTGGCTTCCACCCCAGTTCTAGGCCCGGGGGACACTCACTCACCCTGCACACGGCCTCCACCCCCCGCCTGGCCTGGTCGCAGGGCCCAGCAGAGAGAGTCTGACACTCTGCAGGCCATCTGCCCATGGGAGGGGCGTCCAGAGAACAGACTCAGGGCCCATCCTCCACGCAGGAGAGGGGGGAGGAGAGCCCTCCTAGGACACACCTGCCCTTGGCTCCAGGGCTCTGGGGGCCCCGGACGCACTGAGCAAGGCCAGGCTGGGGAGGGAGGGGGCCCAACGCCCGTCTACCCTCCTAACCCACCAGCTACCCGGTCCATGGCCTGGGTGCAGCTGCACAGGAGGCACGTGTCCCCGGGTGCTGGCCAGGGGACACTGGTGGGACAGGGCCGGTGTCACAACCATCACAGTGGATAAAAGCACATCAGGAAGATTCTGCCTCGGGTTCAGAAAGGCTTACACGGAAACAGTGCCTACGACTCAAATTTCGCCAGGGGGACACAGAGGGCAAGCAGAGGGACCCCTGGTTAGGGTAAGGCTTCCGGCGCTGGCCGCAGGGGCGCAGGGGCTCCCAGGACAGGCGGCGGCGGTGGCGCTATGCTCCCTCTCCGACCCCGTAGCCCACAGTGACGTGGCTCCAGGGTCAGTGAATGGATGACCAGAGGAGCCTGAAATGTCCCCTGACCTTCACCTCCCTTGGCATCCCTTCTCTGACTCCACAACCCCGGGGTCCACCCAACATGATGCGGGGTGGGAGCTGAGGGCTCGGGAGACACTTAGAGAGGCCAGAGCACCCCACCAGCCTGGGAGGAAATAGCAGCGTGGGGAACCCTGAGCCAAGGCCAACTCCAATGAAAAGCAAGTCCAAACCCCGTGACACCACCTACTCCAAGACACAGACTGAGTCACGGCTGGGAGAAACCAGCTGCCCAGGGAAAGAGAGGCCACGTCTACGGGAAACTGAGGCAGCCAAACAGAAAAGCCAAACAGAAAACACCAAATTCCCACCGTGACCTCCATCATCTGGGGACTGCTCTGGAGTCCCTCCCAGGGCAGCGTCAGCACCCGGGACACAGGCCTGCAAGAACACAGAAGCTCCCGGTCACCACCGTGGGGGCGGCCCAGTCCCAGGGCGATGCCTCTCCTCCCCGGAGACAGCGGCGAGCAGTGAGCGGCATCCGCACACAAGGACCTCAGTGAAGCCGCCGCGCCCGAAGGTCCGGCTGCCCTGATGGCTGGGGCCGCCTGACCTCTGACCCCTGCGGCTGTGAGGTGCGTCCACGCGCCTCCCTCTGGGGCCCCTCAGCCAGCCTTGCGTCATGCTCCCCACTGCTGTGTCCCCATGGGTTGCAGCGACGCCGGCCACGTCCATCGCTTAGGGATCAGGGTGAGCAGCTCCCGGGGCCTGTGGTGGGTTACGGGGACACGCCCACACGTGGCTCTCCCAGCTTCCTCCGGGAAGTGGCGTGGTTCCAGCCAAGGAGGCAGCAAGCCCAGACGTGGGGCAGGAGCCGCGGTGCTGCTGGCTTCTTCACAGGGCCTCCCGGCCCCCTGTGCCGGGCAGAGCACCACACACGTACGCCTGTGACCGCGTGCCCAGGTGTGGGTGTGGGGAGGGGTCCTGTCGCAGTGGTTGTGTGGGGCCCTGGCCTTTCTGCCCCGCATGCTGCCATCTGCCTTGCCCAGTTCCCCCCCAGCTCCCTGCACCAGCCGACTGTCTTCTCAGCCCCAGTCTGGACATCTGTGAATTTCTCAAGGTCGTTCGCAGTGTCTCCTCCGGCTTTGCCTGCTGCTCCCAGTGGCTGACGTGGACCGACCCTGGGTCTGGCCAGCTGCAGAGGGTGATGGGAAGGGGCCGCTCGTCCCCCAGCCCGGGGGTAGGAGCATGGCAGGAGGCCAGGAGAATGAGAAAGTTCGACTGGGTTCCGCAGTGTGTGCCAGGATCCAAAGTGACACGCACGCGTGCCCCTCGGCATCCTCGGGCGCTGGGCGGAAGGAGCTGCCTGGCAAACCCCGCAGGGTCTACACCCCGCCTGCTGCTCCCTGGGGCAGGGGAGCTCCTCCCGGGACCCAGGAATTCTACTCCTAGCGATTTATCCTAAGGAGATGATGAGAATCTGTAAAAAGCATGTGGACAGATGAAGGCATGGGAAGCTGCAAATCAGACCACGTGGGGACGCTGGCCCCCACCCGCCAGGGTGTCTAGAATCAAATAGGCAGATGGTCCTGAGTGCTGGCCAGGACGGGAAGGAATGAGAGCTCTCCCCTGTAGCACTGGTGGGGACGGAAAGTGGTGCACTGCGGCGGAACACAGCCTGGCAGGGTCTTACAAAGTTAGAAGGCTTCCCTGCAGCAGCTGCATGCCGGGTCCCCGCCCCAGGGGAAACGCGTCCGCACAAAATCCTACACGTGAGCGCTCTCACAGCAGCACAGGTCGTCAAGTCCAAGTGGAAACAACCAAATGCCCCTTAACTGAGGGACGGCTGCGACAGGCCGGGGTCTGTCCATACAACAGGCATTTACGATTTGGCCACGGAAGGAATGAGGCTCGGGCGCCCGCCCCCGGGGCTGGGGCCTGACGGTATTACACCTGGTGAGAGGCCAAGCACAGAAGGTGTTCTAGGGTTCCCCTTGTAGGACGTTTCCAGAAAAGGCACATCTACAGGCAAGAGGCAGGGTGGCTGCCTGGGAAAGGGAGGCAAACAGCAGGGCCCGGGGGAGACGTGGGTGAGCAACTCTAGAAGTGGCCACGACCAAGCCGCAGAGCCGCGCGCTCAGGGGCAGGGGACGAGAGCACCCAAGTCCCACCTCACCCCAGCTGTTTCAGAAGGACACAGACGTCCATGAGTGTGTCACCGACGCCGGCACGAGGCAGCAGAGGAAACGCCCAACAACCCACGTGGCCGGCTCCGGCCACTCACCGGCCATGGTGCCCCCGGTGCCTCCTGCTGACTCCTCCGGCGCCTCCCAGGCGCCTTACCTGCTGGGGCTCAGGCCTTGGGGCCCATGCCATCCCAAAAGAGACCCCCATTAGGACCCCGCCTGCTGTCCAGACACCAGGAAAACTGTGCTACATGAGGACGCTTGGTCTACGGGAAGTGGCGGCCAAGCACACCATAGCAGGTGCCTTCCAGGGGGGCGAGCCCGTTGCCACTGCCTCTCCCTGGGGCCAGAGGAACCCTGAGTATGTGCTGCATGGCGGGGGCCCCTCTGCAGCGAGGCCATGGGAGGGGCTCAAGGCAGGGGTGGGGTGTCAGGGCCCAGCACCCCCAGGCCTGAGCAGTGGGCTTGGTGCTGGGGCTGCCCCACACCAGTCATCCCAGAACTGCCAAGGGGAGGCCCGCCAGCTGATCCGAAGGGCAGTGTAGGCTGAGAGACCCGTGCGGAGCCTGGCCATGGCCGCGGTCGGAGGAAGCCGGCACAGGAAGGTCCGCCGGCGCAGCGGCACCCCGCACCAGGGAGGGGCGGGGGCTGGTGGCCTCCCCTGCATCCCCACCGCAAGCACAGAGCTCCAGAAGCGGCTTCAGCAGGCGCAGCTCCCTGAGCAAGCCACACGCCCCGCAGGAAGGCCACCCTGTCCCTGTCCCAGCAGCAGCCGCCAGCCAGGCCAAGGCTCACACGGCCTGGCTTCCTGGGGAGGGCTGCAGCAGCCCAGAGCCTCTCAAGCCGTGGGCCTTTCGGGGAAAGCCACTTGCCAAAGGATTCTCGGAAACGGGACCCCATGTCTGCAAGCCCCTCTCCTCCGGCCGGGAAGGGGCCGCCCTGACAACAGCAACCCCGCCCCCCGGACCCCCGCCCCCTTTCTTACCTTCGGGCCCGGGGACGTGGGGGCTGGTGCTGCCGGGTGACCAGGGCACCACCCCAGACAGGCCCCCCAGGGCCGCTCCTACACCAGCCGGCTGCTGCAGGGGGCCCGGGGTAAGGCGGTCCCCCGGGGAAGCCGTGGTCCGACTCGGTCTCGGTGGCCAGCGAGGAGGCGGAGCTCCCCATGGCCCCCGCGGTGGCGGCCGCGCGGAGACCCGGGCCTGGTCACACGCGGCCCACAGTGGGCGAGCTGGAGCATGGAGGGAGGACGGCGCCCACGCCGGAGACAGGGCGGCCGGGCTGCTCCATCACACAACAGAGATAAACACAGAGAGAGAATAAAGAGAAACAGGAGAAACAGCATGACTCACAGGAAAGAAGCCCCCAGAGCCTGGGGGGGCTCCCCAGTGTGCTAGCGGCCTCGGGGACCCAGGCCCCACAGCCAGGGTCCCAGCAGAGTGGAGGTGCGGGGCTGCAGCGGCTAGCCCGAGGCCTGCCCCACCACCAGCGCCCCTGCTCCACTCCTGAGGTCCGACCCCAACCCCTCAACCGCCCATAGGGGACGGCCACGTGTCCACTTGCCGGGCTTCAAAGGGAGTCACACCCCTACTGAGAAAACACCACACGGTCACGCTTTTCTGCAGAAAAAAGGACCCGGGAGCATTTGGCCAAACGGACCAGAGAAACAAGGAAGCGCGTGCAGCAGAGCAGGGACGGCCGGGTGGGGGGTGCCGCGTGCCCACGTAGCCCAGAGGAGACCCCCAGGGCTCCGAGGCCGGCAGAGAGTGGCTACCACATCCCTTCCGGAGCCTTCCAGAGGGAAAGCCTCCCCAGCCCTGGGGAGAGATGGGTGACTCAGGAAGGACCCGGGGATGGCCTGTTTTCAGGGGAGACCATCTGACGCCCATGGGTTGAGCAGGAGGCCCCTCCGCTTGAACCAGACAAGGCAAGTCCCAGTCAGGCTCAGGGCCAAGCAGAACCGGCAGCCCGCTCGGCTCTGGGGGCTGGGGGGCCAGTGACACAGGAGGAGGGGGCCGCGGTCGGAGAAGCCTGGGCCCCTGACCCAGAGGAGCTCTGGCCAGATCAGCCAAGTCCCCAGTGCTGCGACAGAATTCGCTCAGACGGCCTTGACTCCGAGGAACGGGGGCGTGCGCGCGACAGGGCGGCGCCCACCCTGACCAGCCCGGGGGCCTCGTTGGTCCCCTGCCCCTCAGGCCTCCCCAGGGTGCCCCAGCAGGGCCGAACAGAGGAGGCAGAGGCCCCGTGGCCTGCGAAGCCGACACCGTCCCCACAGCACCTGAAGGAACGTCTGCCGGCGCCGACGCACGGGAGCCTCACGGGAGCCACGGGTGCCTTTCCCAGCCGTCTCGCAGCCACGTGAGGAAGGTCAGACAGGCAAAAAAAAGGATCTATAAGACGCATCTTACGTAACCCAGCGCATCCAAAATATCTCCGTGCCGGCCTGAGATTTAGGTGAAACCACGTGTGAGCTACGTGGCACTGCGCTCAGTCGAGATGTTTGGACTCCGCTGTGGTCACGCTCCTCTCCTCGTGGAGGAGCCACGCTCGAGCCAGCAGCCACGCGTGCCAGCACCTTCCACACTGGGCAGTGCACAGGGCACGGTCACCAGCGGTCGGTTCCTCCTCGGCCAGGGTCACTGCAGACACGGCCTCTCCCGGGGCTCCAGGTCAGACCCCAACAGCCCCTCGGATGCCTGAGCTCGCCCACGTGGGAGCCCCTCGTGGGAAGAGCCTGAGCATTTCCGATGCTCCTTTCACAGCCAAACCCTGGGCAGATGGAGGGTACGTGAGGGCAGAGGAGGCCGGAGGGGGACCCAGGCCCACAGGAGGTGTCGTGGGACAGAACTGCTGGCACTTGGCTCCAGGTCCATCATGGTCCTGACAAAGGGCTCTGCCCGTGTCCCCGCGAGGGTGAGGTGAGGGGTAGATGGTACCGGCACCACATCTGTCCCACACAGGAAGAGCCGACGGCAAATCGGCCCTGAGGCTTAGTGAGGACGTGGCCCCAGGCTTCCCAGGGCTGCTACCAGGCCGCCTGCAGCACACCAAGGACTCCCCTGTTCCTCCCGAATGCCCTAACCTGGGGCAGTGAGGACTTGGGGAGAATGCCAGCCCCTATCCGCGCCCGGGGCCCCCAAGCCCTACAGCAGCTGCACCCTGTGCCCCAGCTTCCCAACCGTACAGGCCCTGTCTGGGGCAGGTGGGAGGCCCGTCCAGGGGTGGGCCATATGGTGGCAGCCCAGTCCCTTTGGAGAGGGCAGAGGCAACACAGGTCCCTGTTACTGCAGGCTGGAAGGGCAAATGCTCCCTAGAGAGCAGCCGGCTCAGGAGGGCCCATCTGGGGATCTTTCATCTGGAGGTGATGAGAGGACCTGGGAGTAGACCCCATGACGGTGTGCCCTGGCTGAGCAGGGCTCCCCAGGGGCCAACCCCCGTGCTACCCCGAGAGGCCCACCTGCACAGGGCAGTGTGTGGGGAGCTCTTGCCAGGCAGGGCAGCCCGCCCTGGCTCACATCCTGGCTCCGTGTCAGAATGACCCGGCACGGAGACACTTGCACACCCTGCTCCCCGGGCCTTGCAATTTGAGACAAAGCTAGGTGAGGGCTTCCCGCAGGGCAGAGCAAACCCGATCTCTGGGGACAAATGTCATGCAGCCCTCTTCCCCTGCAGGGCCTGCTGGGCGGACAAAGCCCCCCGGGGCTGCCTGCCTCCCCAAGGTGGGCGCATGGGCCGTAGGCCAGCCCCATGGACACTGGGGACTCGCCATCCGTCACTCTGGGCGTCTCTGCTCATTTCACGAACACCCATCCGGCCTCCGTGGGGTGCCAGGCCCCCAGCAACGCCTGAACCCTGCATACTTAGGGTGCGCTTTCTTGCTGCTATGCCTTCACAGGTCTCTGGGCAGAATCCGGAGCAGACGCCAGCCTCCTGTCGGGGAACAGAGCAGGGTGCCGGGCAACATGGCGCCGCGGGCAATGCTCCTGTCTGCGGCCCAACCGGCCACCCCAGTCCTCCATGCCCTCATTTGGGAGCCGCTGCCCTAGATTTAAATGGGGCGGTGGCCTCGATCGGCCTCAGGGAACCGCGGGGTGGGGCTGCAGTCCCAGCCCCCGAAGGTGTTCCCTACTGGGAGGACTGGCAGGTCCCCCCGCCTGGGGAGAGCAGATGCCTGGCACGGCCCTCCAAGGGGACAGCAGGGGACGATCCTGCAGAATGAGGAGCACAAGGGCCCAGCGGGGACGACCCCTCCTTAAGCCCCACGTGGGGAGCACCTATGCTGGTCACAGCAAGCACCCCCCAGCCCTCACCCTAGCCCACCTGCGCATCCCTGCCCCTGTGGGCCCCGAGAGGGTCGGGCGCTGAGCCGCAAGGACACAGGCACATTGCTTCTGCCAAGTGAGAACTCACCGGGCAAGTGAAGGCCAGAGAGGGGAACACAGTGTGGGCCTCACCCCAGGTCCCACTCTGTCCCACGCCTGGTGGGGGGAGGGCACAAACAGTCAGTCCCATGGTGCTGGGGCCCCTGAGTCCTGTGTGACAATGGTCTGGGCTCCGGGCGGGCACACAGCACTTGGTGATGCCTCTTCCTGTGCGCACACGCCCCGCCCAACCCCCCCAGACATGTCCGCGCTCTGTGCGCTCCCCATGCCGTGTCCCAATTCCACAACACAACACCCTGAGATCTCATGGGCGTGCATCTCCCGTCTGACGGTAACCGGCCTGCACAAACTGCAACCCTGCCGGGCGGCCTGAACCCAGCCCCAGGATGGGCACGGGGGAGGGACGGGGCACAGCAGTCTGCGGGGAGGGCGCCATGTGCCTGAAGGGCCACCCCGCCAAAGCCCAGAATCGCACGCACCCACCAGACACGAGGCCGAGTGTGAGTGGCCTGGTGCTCCCCCCGTAGCCCGAGGGCGCGACCCACCCAGGGAGGTCCAGACCTCAACCTCCCTGCAGGCCCTGGACAACACCCTCCCTCAGGGCACAGGACCAGGGACGGCCCGTCAGGCGTGTGGAGGGTCCTCTGGGGAGGAAACACCAAAGGCGTCACAGACGTGGCCTGGCGAGACACATGTGCTTTGCAGCTCGCCCTACAAAGACAGGACCACAGTCTCACGCCCCAGATGCTGTCAGGGCAGGGGTCCGGGAAGCGGGTCTTGGGGGGTTCTAGACAGAGGCCAAGGAACTGCCACAGGGAGAGGGGCTGCCCGCACTGCTCACGCGCCGCCACTCCGTGAGCGACCTACAGCCCAGATGCACACACAGCCCTGGGGAAGGAGCTCTCCTGGTGCGGCAGACGCCAGACCCTCCCCAGGCACAGGCACCTGGACACCACTCCCTTTCCTGGAAGGTTCTGGACTCTGGCCGGGCCGCAGTCCCACTCCCAGGCTTATCAGCACTGAGCCAGAGTTCACCGGAGTGAGTGCCAACTTGGTCCAGGCTCTGTCTCCACCTCCGGACACGTGGGCCTGAACAAGGAGCGAACCTCAGTCACCCTGGGCGCGCTCCCATGGCTGGTGGCCCGAGGGCTGTGTCCCTTTAGAAGCTGCATCTGTCCCTTACCCAGAGGAGGCTGGAGGCTCTGGAGCAGCCGCGTTGCTCAGCCAGCTCCTCGCTGCCTAGTGCAAAACCCCTGACCACCGTGGGCCAGCCAGAGTGGCAGACGGGGCTGTTTGGGATCCTGGGGCAAGCGGACGGGGCCTCCTTCAGCCTGGGCCTGCCTGCGGTGGGGGTTGCCAGGGAAAGTTACCCAAGGGGACAGGGCTCCAGGAGACCAGCCAGGCAGCTGAAATTCTGGAGGCTCAGGTCCCCGCATCAGCGGCTACTCTGCCCACCAGTGGGGCAACCCCGCCCCAAGCCCAGCCGCTCTGTTCTCCTTCACATTCGAGGACCCTGGTGGAGAGGGGCATGTACTCTCCCCTCAGGTCCTTCAGGCCGAACAAGGGCCCAGGCTCCACCTCGCTGTGGCCTCCGCCACAGGCTCACCGTGGCCCTCCGGCAAACACCGAGGCCAGCCACCCCCACCTGCTGGCCCCAGAGCCTGTGCCCCAAGAGGTGATGTCACCAGCCTGCTGCCCTCAGAGAGCCAGGTGTCAGGGTTAAGGCCGTGGGCTCTGGGAGGGTACCCAGCCCTTCCTGTGAGCAAACCCGAGAGGGACGGACAGGGCTCTGTCCCAGACCCTTGCCCTCCAGACCAGGAGCTGCTGCCTGAGCACGCTACAGGACGGCAGTCACCCTTGGCACTTCTGGACTCTCCCGTGTCTCAGGCCCTGCAGCGCCCACAGGTTCTGGCCGCCGTCGGGGCTCCTCGCCATGCAGCTAACCCCCCAACCCCCGCCGGCGTCCTGGGCACATCGGGGCACCAAGGTGGGAGGGGAGGGGATGGGTCTCTCAAACCAGACGCACACACAGGCCCAGGGGCCGGGGCTGCCCACACAGAGGGGACAGGGTGGCTGCACGTCCTTCTGTGTCGGTGTCCTACAGCACCTGCCGCGCACAAGCAAGGAAGCGAAGTACGTGCCCCACAACAGCGTTTTCGGAGAACAGGCCCGTCCTCAGGATTCCCTGGTTTGCGAGTCTGACACCGCGCGACATCTGACCGTGTCTTCTGCGCAGTGGGGACCGGCTCCAGACACGGGCTCCAGACACGCTCCCTCACCCTGGGCACTTCAGTGCCTCTGCTCGCCAGCTGACAGCAGCAGCAGCCTTGGCCCGGGCAGCCTGGCGACCTCAGCCTCACTGGCAGCACAGACTTCCGGGGGTCATCAGCTCACCCCAAGGGAGGAAGACGGGGGGCCGGGGAGCCGTGGGGACCGGGCCCCATGAGCTCGGGGCTCTCTGCAGCCACCTTTCCAGATCGGCGGGGCTCTAGAACATTCCGCCGCTCCTGCTGACTGGAGGGGAGTATCAGGTGGGGGTGGAAGGTCCTGGGGTTCGAGGTGCACTGAATTCCAAAGGGCACGGGCGGATGTGGAAGGGCGGAGTGCAAGGAGGGACTCGCTCTGCTTCGGGTGGGGGCTGTGACGGCAGGGGAGGAGCAGAAGCTGCAGCCCAGGCCTCCTCCGGACACAGGCACACGTGACACCGCTGAGCAGCAGCCATCAACCTGCTCTCCTACGGTGCTCCTGCGGCACCGTCCGGGCCCATCCCCCAGCCTGGCCACGGGGCAGGCGGGCACGGAGCTCCCCTCCGTCGTGGGGAAAAGTGCGAGCAGGGCGTGGAACGGCGGCCGAAGCGTGATGCTGGGCACCCGCACGGGGGCAGAGAGGCCAAGACACGCTTGTGCTCCGCTCGGTCTCCTGTGGATCCACGCCTGGTGCCCAGACAAGTCCCTGCAGGAGGGAGCGAGTCGCGGACCCCCCCACCGGCCCCTCCTGGGCTGTATGCACTGGGCCGGGCCACCCCTCGGTCCTCCCACAGCCCCCCGGCCCCCGCACCTGGCCCTTCTCGTGCTGGTGGCACCGACATGGCTGTCTGCTGAGGCCCTGCTCGGACCCTTCCCTGGGCCACTGCCAGGACCCACAGAGTGACAGGGTACGGCTGGGCAGGTCTCCAAGCTCAAGAGGCGGAGGCAGCCCAGCCTCACCCCACAGCCTCCTTCCGGCTCATTCCGAGAGGGCGGAAGCCAGTAAGTCCACTCCTCAACCCAGAAGGGCTGTGGGGCGCCATTCCGGGCGGCCCCGCGATGACTGGAGCCGCCTGCCGGCACGGAGCCGGCAGAGGCCATTCCCTGCCCACCCACTCCGTGTGGACGGGACGATGCTGAGCACCGAGGGTCTGTGCGTGCACCGCGGCCCGAGACAGGGTCCAAGCTCGGCACAGGTCGCCTGGCCCTCCTCAGCAGAGCAGGAAGGCAGGAAGGTGGGGGAGCCTGGGTCCACGCTGAGCAGCTTGGCCAAAGAGATTAAGGCAGAGACACAATCACAGTCCTGCTCTGGGGCACTTCTGGGGCACTGCTGCTGAGGAAGCGGGGGCGGGGCGGGACCCAAGGGACGTGCGGCCAGCAGGTGTCAGGAGCAGCGCTGGTGGGAGGCGAGAGCGGGAGCAGGTCTGACCCCAGAGCTCGTTCGGCACACCCAGGGCCCGAGAGCCCTTGCTCGGGGTCTGGGCCGCGGCTTTTGAAGTCTGATGAAGTGACCAGCCGAGCCAGCCCACGCGTCCCCATGCTGCTCGGGGCTGCGCTCTGCAGCCTCTCAGCCGCGTGCGGGCGGCGGGACGCCCGCGGGTGCGTGTGACCGGTCACCTGGGGCCAGGTTCCTGCCAGCGTCCAAGCGGTTCCCATGTGACCAGGCCCCCGTGCTTCTAGCACCTTCTGTGCCGGAGGCAGCACGCGGGGAGGGGGGTGGCCCGCTCAGCACCCAGACTGCAAGACTGCGGGCCTGCCCCTCGGGCTCTGCCCACCGTGGGCCGTGACACCCCACCGCGGTTCCCGAGGGAGAGGGATTTTAGTGCAGGGGTGCGTCCTTCCCGTACCCCGTGCGAGACCCACCCGGGAGGCCGAGCGAGCAGAGGGCCGTCCGAAGGCAGCCCCGTGGGTCAGACGCCGGCAGGTGCAGCCCCCGGTGCCCCTGGCTTCCGCCCCCTTGTCTGAAAGCCTGGCTGAGCCCGGCGCTAGCCGCGACAGGGGCCGGGAGAGCTGCGCACAGGCCGGGGCACGGGGAGCGTCCGCCAAGGGCACCACGGTCCGGCCGGCCAAGCGGGCCTCTCTGGTGGAGGGAGCAGACTCGGGACCCGCCGCCGCGGCCCTCAGCGCCCATGGCCTGTGGGAGCCTGCCTAGCGGTGCTGTCCCTAAGCCTCAGCCCAGCAGGGCTTGAACTGGGCTCTCAGGAGGTCACGAGGTCACCAGCCAGTCCGCTGGGGAGCAGCTCCAGAGAGGTCAGATGCAGAAGGAAGGGAGAGAAGTGCCCTTTCGGGAGCAGGATGACCTGAGAGGACGTCAGAGGTGCCCAGCCCAAGGCCAGGCGGAGCCGGCTTCCTGCAGGACGAGTCTGCGCCCGGCACTGCCCGGCACTGCCCGGCAGCTCCCCGGCCTGCCACAGGCCCCATCTTTCAGTTCTCTCTCTCGCCAGGTCTGTGGAGGGATGGATGACCCCCGCCTCCTGCCCCGGCCTGTCTCTGCTGACCGGGGGGAATCTGGACATGACCCGGCCGACCCTCACAGCCCTCCCCGCCCGCCCCAGTGCAGCCCACCCCGCAGCACCGCGCTCCTCCGCAGGACCCCAAACTCGCGGCCTGGGCCCGCAGGGGTCCTGCTCACCAGCTCCCGCGCAGTCAGGGGGCCGCCCCTACAGCCTCGCGATCAGGGCCACTGGGGCCCACAAGGGTCCCCTGGTCAGGAGCGAAGGGAGGACCGCAGGAAGAGGCAGGGGCCGCCCAGCCGCCCGGCCAACCTTCCCCGGAGGCCCCCGACCCCTCGAACTCCGCCGCGGCCGGAGCGCCGCCCCCAGAGGAACAGGGAACAGGGAAGTGTGGGGCGGCCGACGGGCGCCGCCCCCGGGAAGTGCCCGCGGTCCCTCCGCGGGGGGCACCGGGGGACACTCCCCGCAGCGCCGGCGGGGGCAGAACGCGCCTGGACCGTAAGGGCACTCAAGGACAGGCCGGGGCCGGGGCCGCCTCCAGCGTCCGCAGCACCCCGGGGCTGGCCTCCCGGAGACCCAGACGACCCGGGTCCGCGCCCGCTCCCCTCTCGGGCTGCGCCCCCAGCCCGGCCCGGGCTCCGGCCCGAGCTCGGGGCGCGCCGCTGGGGTGCGGTGGGGGCAGCCCCCCGGTGGCGAGGCTCCGGCGCGGCTCCAGGCCGCACTCCCGGCCCAGCCCGGCACTGCCGGCCGGACTCACCTCCGCAACCAGGCGGCGCCTCCTCAGTCCCCGCGGCCCGGGCGGCGCGGCCCCGGGCCTGCTCGCCTGCGCCGGCCGCTCCACAACTTCTGCCGCCGGCCTCCCGCGCTGAGTGGCGGAGCAGCCGCGCGCCCGGCCCGGCCCCGACCCGGCCCGCGTCCGGCGCCCGCTCTACGCCGCCTCCGTAGCGTAGCTCCCGGCCGGGGCCCCGCGGCTACGGCGCGCCTGAGGCGCACACCGCGCTGTGAATCGCGCGCGCGGACTACCGCTCCCACAGGGCCGCGCGACGCCGCCAGGCCGGAAGCTCGGGGCCGGGCCCGACGCGATGCGGATCGGGAGTTGTAGTCCTCGGATGTCCGCCAACAGACGCGACGATTGGCTCCCTCCCCGGGCCGCTCCGCCCACCGGCCCCGCTGGAGACGGCCGAGCCCAGGGCTCCAGGCGGCGCTGCATGTCGGGCCTGCTCGGAGCGGCGGAAGGGATGCTTCGAGGACAGAACTGCGACTACTACTCCCAGAACGTCCTGCGCGGGAGGAAGGGGCGGGGCCCCCACCCAGCCCCAGTCCCTGCGCTTCCGGCTGCGACTCTCAGGCCGAGACGCGGATCTCTGGCCGCTCCTCCCGGCCGCCTGGTCGAGCAGCAAGCTCTGCCCTGGCCCTCACGTGTCCACGGGGTCCGCACAGCTGCTAGCGCCCTCCCAGAGTCTCCCCACACCCCCTACCCCCCTGCCCTCTAGCTGCCCCAGACCCCCTGCTCGGTTCCCCTCCAGGCTCCGGGGTCCACGGCGCCCGTTTGGTGGGACCTACCTGGGTGGAGACGCGGCCTTGGCACTTCCAGCGTGACCCGGTCACATTACTTCCGTGGGCCTCGGTTTCCTCCTCGGTAAAAGACGGCGGAACGTGCCGGCATCCGCGGAGCGCTCGGCCCGGTGCCTGGCGGGAAGACCCCTAACCCGGGGAGGCCGGTGTCGCTCTGCAGGGGCCTCTGAACCGGACCCACCCGCCCAACGCCGAATTGACAAAAGAGCCTCCTAGGTCAAACCTCTCGCCCCAAGGTCCCCCTGGGCAGCTTGAGGTCGCTCACAACCAGCACTCACGGAACCGGAGGCCCCGCGCAGCCTGCATGTTTGGGAGACAGCCAGACCTGCAGCGAGGCGGCTCGTCGGATGCTAGCGCAGCGCGGGGAGGCTGTAGGGCGGGAAGACGGGACGCTGAGGGCAGAGCCCGGAGGATTCGGGCGCTCGGGGGCACTGGTCGTGAGAGAGACACGGAAGCAAGGCATGTCTGCTAAGAGGGATTCAGGGAGAGTGGTAGTGCCTCCAGATTGGGCCGAATTTTCCAAGTGGAAAATTGGGTCATGTTTGTTCTAAGTGCCCAGAAAGTCAGCTGACCTCAGTAGGACCTACAGGGACAGGGCTCAGTGCTCCCAGGCAACCCCCTCTCACTCCTCAGTAGCTGCAGCAGGAGCGGAGTTGCTTCCTGAGCCCTCTAAGCAGCAAGCTTCTGGGGACAGAGCTGTACAGTGTCTTGGCCTGCCCCTAGCTTCCTCACCTCAATGGTGAAAGGTAGCCTCTGACCTTGTGTGGCTGTGGAATCACATGAGTGGACAGAGTCAAGGGCAATCACCTGGTGGGGGGGCCTCAGTAACCACAGCTCCCCCCCACCTACCATGGACACTGGCTGGAGTGGCTGTTGGACTGGTGGTCCTCAGCCCCTAACCTCCTAAGGAGAACAGCTGAAACTGAGGGGAGATCCCTGCCCACTCACTGCAGGTTTCAGAGTCACGGTCTAGGGGGGGTGGGGTGGGGGGGTGGGAGGGGTGTAGGAGCATTGCCTTCCCCGGGGAGGGGCCAAGGCCTCTTGTTGGAGAGGCGGGGAGAAAGCCCAGTCATCCCAACAGGGGTCAGGAGCAGTCTTCCGGACTGGAGTTGCTCAGTTGCTCCGTGTTGGAGAGGAGCCTCCTGAACAAGGGTTGGGAACAGTGTCTGTTGACATTGGTGGGAGGCAATGGTTCAAGCATCCCTGTGCCTATGGAGTTCTCCGTTTTGGGACCCAAATGGCCCAATCATAGACTGGAGATTCTAGTGGGACTGGGGCTCAGGGACCCTCAGGGGTGGGACGTACATGCTGGAGGCAAGGTGTGCCAAATGCAGGACACCCTGTGCTGAGACACACAACCCGTGTTCTGGCCAGTTTTAAGGAATGACTCATCATTGCCTGCTTTGTGAACCACCCCTTGGCCCCTGTGCCTGGCTTAAATAGGAGAACAGATCCCCGTATAAGGAAAAAAGTAAGGGCCCTTCCCAGGGCTACCACCTCCAGGTCTCTGAACTGCCAGCAGGTGGAAGGGCGGGTGCTGGGGCATCCTTCCTTCAGCATGGCTGGGTTGGGGCAGGGCCAAGGCAGGGCATGGGCAGTGCTCAAGGGACAGCTGGAGGGACCAGACAGCCATGCCCCCACCTACCAGATGTCATCTTCCTTGCTTTGTGCTCCTCCATCATGCAGGACTGACCGACTTGGAGGGTTCAAGCAGTCCTCAACAGACCTGAGCTGGGGGGCTTGGGGCCAGGTCACTTCAGGGTTAGGGTGGAGGGTCCCCACATGGAAGGGGCGCACTTGGGTCTGGGGGGGCCCTTCCTGGCTGGCAGTGGGCACTGCTGTTTCCATTTACGGTGGGTTTCCAAGTGTTCTCCAGCCCGACCCTGTCCCAGTGGATAACAATCTCCCCATCAGGCTGGGGACCCTGGGAGGGCCAGGGCAGGGATCTCAGAACTGGCTGCTGGGGGGGCCAGACCATGGATAGGCCCCCACATGTTTAAGAGCATAAATGAAACACCTGATGGAGCCAGGCCCCCTCCCCACCTGCAGCTTCTCCTAGGCAGGGGTGGGCCCTGCAGTCTCCAGACAGACAGGTAGGTGGAGGGCAGGTATCACCCAGTGCGCCCAGGCTGGGGACAAGTGTGTCCTGGACCCTCCCTGACCCGAACTTGCCACCGCAGCACTTGGGCACCCCAATGCTGAGCAGGCCCTCCCTCCAGCGGGAGTGTGTGGTTGAAGCCTGCACCCCAGGCCACAGCACAATGCCGTCCCTCCTGGGCCGTAAGTTCTGCTGGTCCCACCTGTGGGCAGCGGGGCCCAAGTCCCGCTAATGGGCTTGCTCATGAGCGCGCACTGGTCTGTCTAGGGAACTACCTGCTTGGAGCGCCAGTAGCACAGGACAGAGCCTGGAGCTTCACACACTCTCCAGACCCTGGGAAACTAGCGGGGAGGTGGCTGTGGGCAGGAAGTTGGCCTTGGGCATGTCCACACGCCTACAGCCCCCCAGGTTCACTCCTCACTGCAATCCCACACAGCATCCAGGACTCCCAGGCCTGACTTTGGCGGCCCCTGCTCACAAGCCACGCTGTGTCCACTCACCATTGGCATCAGGTTGTCGGCCCCATGGGCCAGCATACCTGGGCTCAAGCCCCTTCAGTGCCCTGCCGGATGGCTGAGGGTGGGGTCCTTGGCCTTCCCTGAGCCTCAGGTGGTCCATTTGTCTCTGACGTGCAGGCAGCTAGCTCCGTGCGAGGGAGGTTTTAGACGCATGGTTTGCTGCTTCGTGGACGCCTGGGCTGGGGAACTGAGTTTGGGAGCTTTGGCTAACTCCCACTTCGAATTACATTTGCTCACTTACCCACAGAATCTTCTCACTGCGTGCCCTTGACGACGGTGGTACCTGCGCTCTCCCCCAAGCCTGACCACCCAGACTGACCTTCCTCATCTTTGAGCCAATCCCTGTGTTGAGCCTGCGCCTTCAGTTTGGGTACCGTGCATGACGTCCTGGGGATATCATGAAGCCCCAGATCTGGGATGCAGCCCCTCGACCCAGCCTGCACTCGCTGTGTCCGCCATGAACACCCACGGCCCCAAAGGCCCCGTCACACGGTCTCACCTCAGGAGGGCCCCCTGGCTGAGCTCTGCTGGGGGTCCAGACTGGAGGTACAAGCCTGGGACCTGTGGGAGGCGTCAGCTTGAACAGAAGCTCTCCTACAGAGCTCACATGGTACAGAGCCCCCTGGATACCTTGGAGGGCCAGGCCAGGCCCAGGGCACCCCACCCAGCCCGCAGACCCCACGGAGGAAGAAACCGGTCTCTGCGTGTATAGACAGCTTTAATCTGCATCGAGACTGTCCTGGCCTTGCCCTTCAGCATCCAGGCCACCACGGCACTGCCTGAAGAGTCTTTCTCAAGGGGAAGGCAACAGGGTCACTGTGCATGTCGACGTCTGGGAGTCTGTGTGAAGCCTCTCGCAGCAGTCCCTGTTTACAGTTACGGGACCGCTGAGTGAGGAACAGAGACTGACCCACATCGGTGTCACCGGGGCAGGGCTGGGCATGGAAAGCAGAGTTCCAGTATTTATTATCATACATATATATATTTTATGTGTATACACAGATAGTTTTCTCTCTTGGAAGTATTAAAAAATTGATCAACCTTCAATCTATAAAAAATACCTACTCTACATGATAGAAAAATCTCTCCTCCAAGTTTACACTGATTTACACCCAAGGCTTTCCCCAAAATGTACAATACGAGGCAACGTCTTAAATCTTAGTGTAGAGGGTGGGCCACATGGAGGACGGAGGGACGCAGAGCAACACACACACGCACACAGACGCACGCACACACACACACATGCCCTCTCACGCACACGTGCACACAGCAGTGGCCCGTCTGTGTGCAGGCCCAGCAGCCCCCGTGGTGATGCGGTGCCTGGCAGTGGGGGCACAGAGCCAGGCAATGATTTCCTTAACGGAGCCCCCAGGCTGCTGGGAGGGCCCTGTTCTCCGTTCTTGATCATGTACTGGGAGAACCAGCAGAGCTTGGCCGCCTGCAAAACCCAGCTTGGGGAAGGACGGCCACTTCGACTTCCAACTCCCAGGGGAAACGTGCACTCTGTAGGAAACCGGGACTCCCCTGGGGCAGCGAGACCTGCCAGGGGAGGGGCTGCTCCAGGAAGCCGGGGAGGCCACCCCAACGGGGAGGCAGTTTCTCACCAGGACGCTGCCTGCACCTGGGGTCACAAAGGCCAGTGACACCCACCCTCCAGAGAGCATGCTACGCGTGGTGAGACTCTCAAGTCCTGATTTCAAAAGGGAGGCTCCTGCCCCAGCCTCCACGGGAGGGTCAGGCGCTGGACCGAAGTGATCCTTTGGATGGGAGCCGGCCCCGGGAAAGCTGGGACCCCCGCAGCTCCTAGCCAGACCCTGACGCGCACGCCTCGGCTGCCTGTACTCCCCATGCCACCGCGTCTATCGAGAGGGTCCTGGGGCTGCCGTGCCGTCGCGTGACGGCCTCTGAGCAGATCATGCAGAAGCACCCTGGTGGGGACACATCCTTCCTTCCTTCCCTGATGGGTAGGCAGCAGCGGGGTCTGCCACATGGGAGGGAGCTCCCAGAAGGGCTCACCTGAGCTGGAGACGTAGTCTCCGCGTCTCTGCAGAGAGCAGCCCAGCCCCACCCTCTCCTGTGTGGGCCCCAGCCCCGGGCTCCCGTTCCTTCTCCTTCTGCAGACCCGTCACTGCGCCCCCAGCCACTGGTCTCAGGCGCGGGCGTGCCGTGGCCATCTCCTGAGTGTGGGTGGGGTCCTGGGCCCACCAGGCCGGGCCTTCCTGCCTCTATTTGACCTCCAGGATGGATGGGTTGGTCTCCATGATGGCCACGATGATCCGGTCAATGTAATCCTGCAGCCGGAAGTTGATCTCCTCCTGCTTCTGAATCGCGTCCATGAGCTGCGGGAAGAGCAGTGTCAGCGCCAGCCTGGTGCGCAGGCCCGGCACACGTGGGTGGCCGGGCCTGGCCAGGCCTTACCTCATCTCGGGAGACGGAGCTGATCTCCGCAGCCAGGGACTCCGAGAAGGACGTGGAGAAGAGGTTCTTGGCGCCCTGGATGCTCAGGTTGATGATCTGCCCATTGAGCTCGTCATTCTGCTCCTTCAGGTTACGGTTATCCTGGGTGGGGGAGCACGCGGGAGCCTCACTCCTGCGGCCGGGACCCCACTGGTGGCTGAACCGGCACAGGGACCGGCCAGAGGGGCTTCCGGCTCAGCGCCCCAGCCCCCCGCGTGACCCCGCCCCGTGCTGGGCCCGGAAGTTTCCGTGGCGCTCCAGGGGCCTGTCTGCCGCACCTGCTTCAGCCGGCGGACCTCCTGCTCCAGCTCGCTCTCGCGGGTGCGGCTGTTGTACTCCTGCAGGCCCACGCTGCTGCCGCGGCCCCTCCGCTGCTCGGCCTCCAGCTTGAAGAGCTGCAGGTGCTCCAGCTGCTTCCGCAGGTCCTCGATCAGCTGCGGGCAAGCGCGGGTGAGCCGGGTTCCAGGCACCGAGGCAGCAAGTGCCAGCCCTCGGCGTCCTGACCTCTGGCTGCATCCAGCGCCATCCCCAAGCAGGAGGACGATGCCGCGCTTCCCAAACCCCTCCCGCCCAGCAGCCCTGCCCGGCACGACCCGGTTACCGGCCTCGGGTCTCCGGACACAGAGGGTGCCAGGCTCACCTCCTGGGTTGCCTCCTTGTCCCTCTGGAACTGGTGCCTCTCGTGACTCAGCCTGTCCCCCAGCTTCCTCCTGTTCTCCTGCTCGTCACTGAGCCGCAGGGACAGCTCTTCGATCTCATCCAGCAACTTCTGCTTCTCCTGTGGCGGGAGGATGCCCGCTGCGGTGTGCCCGCCGGCTGCCCCGTTTGCACAGCTCTCCTGGGCGCGCTCAGCCCCTTGGGCTCCGTCATAAAGGCGGCCCCTAAGCCACCCCATCATGACCAAGGTGCACACACCTCTGGGGGCACGCTGACCCCGAGCACCACGCGCACGGGTGGGCCCGGAGAGCTCCTGGTGCGCGTGGCTGCAAGGGCCACAGGGACGGTTTCCAAGGGAGGCGGGGCAGGAGGGACCGAGGCAAGAGCAGGACCACAGCGGCTCTGCAGGAAGTGCTCACAGGAGCCAGAGCCCATGTGGTCTTGGACGTCCTCAGGGTTCACAGCTTCCCAGGGGACCTTGGCAAGGAGGGGAGGAAGGGGGCAGAGGCCTCTTGAGGGAACACCCGCAGGACCAGGCACGGGGGGTCTAGCTGAAGTTGGCCCTGAATTCAACCACACGTCCATCTCAGCGGAACCTCTGAACACAAGGACCCATGTCTGTGGGGACGCTGGGACGTCAGGCAGGGACCAACAACCTCCAACAAAGTGATGGCCAGACCCAAGCTGTCCTTGTCCCCATCCCCGGGGCCCGTGGGCCCAGGGCCATCAGCATGCTCTCTGGAGTGGTCCCACCCTGCGCTGGCTGTGCGGCCGTCCTACTCTAAGAACCCGTCAGTGGCAGAGGGCGGAGGAGCGCCCTGACGCTAGCTGGACCGATAGCGTGCCCACCTGTCACGGGGCTGGGCCCCACACGCTCAGCGCTCCCAGCTGACCGCTCACCTCCTCCAGGCGCTCAATGTTGGCCTTCAGACAGGGCGTGCAGGACCTCAGCTCCCCATTCTCCTCGTCCAGCTGCTGCAGCCTGAGACACAAGAACAAGGCTGGGACCTCATGCCCAGGAAATGTGCCTCCCTGAGGCAAGGGAGGCCCCCTGTCCTGACAGCCACCCCGCGAGTCACCCAGGGACCCACAGAGGCTCCCCAGGAGGCCCCAGACCTCACTCAAGTACTCTAGGCCCCAACTTTTCGTTAAGCTAGGACGGTCATTAAATATACTTTGGGTCTAGGAACACTTGTGGGTTTACACAAAAGCTGCAGACACAGTGCAGGGTCCCTGTGGGCTCAGGCCCCCTTCCGGCAGGCCACGTGCTCATTGCTGTGGTGGCTCTGCCGCCCACACAGCCACACTGGGATACACTAGTCCCCAAACCACCCACTTCACTTGATTTCCCACCGGTGCCCCTTCCTGCCCTGGGGTCCATCCTGGGGCCACACTGCACTCTGTCGCCGCGTCTCCTTGGGCCCCTCTGGTCTGTGGCGGTCTGTAGGACCTCCTTGGCTCTTTGTGAGCTGGTCATTCTGGGCAGTTCTCGTCCCATATTTGCTCCGATGCCCCCACACTGGGTTTGTCTGGTGTTTCTGGGACGAGACGGGTCACAGAGGCGAGGTGCCCTTGTCACCGATCAGGTGCCCGAGTCCACGTGACTCGCCGCGGGCCTGGATCACCTGGTGAAGGTGTGTTTCCAGGTGTCTCTTCCCGCGGGTTCCCTGTCCCCTGGAAGCCCGTCACTGGGCCCGGCCCCCGCCCCAGGGGAGGGAGGACTCTGCTCCAGCCCTGGGGGGCATTTCCCCGCATCACTGGGAATCCCTCTGTGAGGAAGGCTCGTGTCTGCTCCCCACGTCTTCACCAGGGCTCACGTCGAGTGGGGCTCCGGGTTATGGTCCGGTAGTAGTATTAGTGTGTTACTCAAAGTGGTCCAGCTTTGACCTCTGGGAGCCCTCGTCAGCTGCCCCAACACCGTGTGCAGATCCATGCTTCTCTGAGCACCTCCCTACTTTCTGACACAATGAGAAGCTCCGCTGGCCTCACTCCCAACCCAGCCACAGACTTAGTCCCCTTTCCAAGGAGCCTCTTCTCTGCTCCACAGTCCTGTCCATCGTGTCGCCTTCCGTGGCCGTCTGCACTGCGCACGTTCTTCTTGGGCACCACACTAGACTGGGGTCACACCAGAAAGGCCCTTTGTGCTGGGCTGACCTCAGGGTGCTGACCCCTCCCACCACCCACCCCCAGGTAACTGCAGGAGGCTGACGGGATCCAGCCACACAGAGCAGGCAGCAGGTCTGCTCAGAAGCAGTGACATGGAGTCCCGCCCAGTCCCCTAAGGGCTTCGCGACACCTGGTACACCTCGATCCCCACGAGCTGCTGCCCTGCTCAGAACCCCAGGGGAGAGGCTACCCGCACACACAGACGCGGAACACACAGCCACGCTGTGCTGAGGCCCAGGAAAGAAGGTCCCCCAGCTGCCCGGGCCTGGCTGTGTCTGCGGCGAGGAGGCCTCGCGTCCGACGGCTGGTGCCGCTCGGGGTGCAGCCCCTCCCGCAGCCCACCGGGAGGCCCGCTCTCGGAAGGGCCTCACAGGAGCTCCTCTTCCACCCAGTCGGCCGCACCCCCAGCCGAAGCGCTGGAGAGGACCACAGGCCACAAGCCCTGGGGTCCTCTGAGTTCTCAAAGTGGCTCTGGCTCAGCGACCAAAGCCCCTCACGGCCCTCGGGGAGGCCCCTTCAACCACTCCTGGCTGGGAGCCGTGTAGGACCGTCCCACGACAGGAGGAAGCCCCGCATGGGGGGCCCGACCTGCGTGGGGGCGGCTGGCGGTCTCGCGCTCTCCCTGCGTGCTCCCCGCGGGGCGTGCTCCCCCCGTTTCTCTGGACTCTTGGAGGCTCCCACCTCCAGATAAGCAGAAGGGGACCCCGCCAGCCTCAAAAAGGACGGGGGACAGACTCCACGGGACACCGGGTAGGGTCTGTCCGCGAATTCTGAGCCTGAGCGCGGTTCACAGCGTTCCTCGCGTGGCTCCTCCCCGGCCTCCGCAGTCCGCTCCCTCCCCGGCCGGCGGCCCACCTGGCCTGCAGGCTCTCCACCTCGATGCTCCGCTCCCGCTCCATCTTGCACAGGAGCTCCCGGTGCCGCCGGGCCTCCTCCAGCGCCACCTCGCAGGCTCGAAGCTCCTGCTCCTTCAGCTGCTCCTCGAGGGCATTGGCTCTGCGAAGGCGAAGGTAGGTAAGAGGCCTTCTGCTCCCTCACCAGGGCCCCCGCAGGTCTGGCCAAGGGCAGTTCTGAAGCAGAGGACGCGCCCGCCGAGACAGCCTCTGCTTCCCACACGGGCACCCAGGGCCTCAGAACCAGAGTCTCCGTCGCTTTGGGCAGCGCATCCCCCATCCCAGCGTGCGGGCAGGAGCCTCCCCAGTGGTGCAAGCCCACCAGGTGCTACCAGGTCCCGGGAGGACCCTGCACTGACCCTGCGGGCCGCACGCCCAGGTCACCCATGGCAGAGGCAAGGGGATGTGTCAGCGAGAACATGAGGCCAAAGGGAATGTTCTTGCGGGGGCCCTGACCCTGGTGCCTACCAGACCCCCACAGGCAGCCGCAGGACACAGGGACTGACCACCCAAAGAGAAGGGCTCCAGGCCCTGCCCAGAGCGCCCACACCTCCAAACTGTCCATGCACACAGGGCTTCTCCACCTCTTTCTGGTGCCTCACACCAAGAGTGAACAGACTCCATGGGAAAGGTGTCGACACAAAAGCGGCCGAAACCATCAGAGAGAAGACACCTCACGCAGGAGAAAGCCCTATAATTCACACCTCAGGGTGTGTGACCTGCCCCACAGGGAACGGGAGCAGAACATCTGAAGTCAAAAAAAATTCAGTAAGAGAGTGGTGCCTGGGGGGCTCAGTTGTCGGGTGTTTGCCTTCAAGTCAGGTCATGACCCCAGGGTCCTGGGATCGAGCCCCGCATCGGGCTCCCTGCTCATTGGAGAGTCTGCTTCTCCCTCTCCCGCTCCCCCCTGCTTGTGTTCCCCCTCTCGCTGTCTCTGTGTCAGATCAGTAAGTAAAATCTTTGGGAGAAAAAAGATCTGCAAAGTGGAGAAAAGAGACAGAAGCAAGCACACATTTAAATAAATAAATAAGGAAATTCAGAGTGTTGAAAGAGAAGACCAAGGATATTACATTTTTCCAAAGAGGAAAATGGGGGCGCCTGGGTGGCTCAGTCAGTTAAGCTGCTGCCTTCGGCTCAGGTCGGGATCTCAGGCTCTTGGGCTCGAGCCCCGCATCGGGCTCTCTCCTTGGCGGGGAGCCTGCTTCTCCCTCTCTCTCCGCCTGCCCCTCTGCCTGCTTGTGATCTCTCTCTCTCTGACAAATAAATAAATAAAATCTATTTTTTTAAGATTTTATTTATTTATTGGACAGAGATCACAAGTAGGCAGAGAGGGGGAAGCAGGCTCCCCGCCAAAGAGAGAGCCCGATGCGGGGCTCCATCCCAGGACCCTGAGATCACGGTCTGAGCCGAAGGCAGAGGCTTCAACCCACTGAGCCACCCAGGCGCCCCAAATAAAATCTTTAAAAAAAGTAAAAATGAAAAGAGGAAAATCGGTGCCTGGGCAGCTCAGTGATTTCAGCACCAACCCTTGAGCTAAGCCCAGGTTGTGAGATCAAGCCCTAGGCTGGGCTCCACACTGGGTGTGGAACCTGCTTAAAAAGAGGGAAATGGCGGAATTAGAGAACAGGAAAGTAAAGAAAATGAGAAGAAACGTCCATAAGGTCTAACATTTGACGAACAGACGTTCAGACAGATAAGGAGATAGAACAAAACGTACAGAGAAATAATTCCAAAGATCCTCCTGAAGCTGAGGAGTATCTCGGAGATTTAAAGGTTGGAATCCTGTGCCATCACAGGAAACGGGGGGCCTTCTCAGCGCCCCAGGTGAGAGCCCAGACCCCACAGAGGGCACTGGCGCCCACCTGCCGATTTCCCGCTGTGGTAGCAGACGCACCCCACTCTCCACGGGCGGACACACTCCAGACACACGTGGCCTCGCCGAGCCGCACCCTCCCCCAGGCAACCGTCCGGGGACGCCCTCCGCAGACAACGAACAAGCAAGAAAAGAGGAAAACACGGGATCTAGAAAGCAAGAAGCCAAGCACGGGGGGCGCCTGGGGGCCCAGCTGATTAGGCGTCGGACTCTGGGTTGCGGCTCCGTCGTGAGCTCAGGGTGCTGGGATGGAGCCCCACGTCGGGCTCTGCAGTCGGTGAGGCGCCGCCTTGACGATTCTCTCTCGGCCGCACCCCTGCTCAGGCACACTCGGGCTCTCTCCCTCCCTCTAAAATCAGTCATCTTAAAACAACCAGATGAACAAACCGCAAGCATGAGAACCGTGTGGGGCCGCTGGGACGCCGGTAGAAGGCAGCAGCCACGCAGCAGGCCAGAGACACCGTGAACATGAGGAACCCTCAAGAAGCAGCAGAAACATGTTGATTTTAGGAGAACGCAGGAAACAGCCCAAGAAACACCCACAGGCTTGGACACGGCAGGCTGTTGGGCAAAGGCCGTGGACTCTCCACTCCATACGCGGGTAACTGGTAGGGCCGTCAGACCAGACGGAGCCTCACCAGGCAGCTGGAGAAAGAGGAGTGCTGGCCCAGCCAGGTTTCCCTGGACACGGACAGGCAGGGGGACAAACATCCCCGGAGCCCCTCCGCGAGCACGCTGGGCCCGCCCTCAGCTGGGCAGCAGGACCACGCGGGCCGGCCCCGCTGGGGGAGCCTGGGCCGGGTGCAGGGTCCAGCCCAGGCTCTTGGCTGCACAGAGGACCTGATACAACTGTGCTCGTGGCATGCGGGGGGCGCCTGCAGGACCGACCCACTCTAACTCCCAGCCTCCCAAGAGCAGACTGCCCGCCCAACACCAGAGCGAGGTCAGGGAGTGCGTGCCATCCAGGATGGAGCATCACGGCAGGAGTCGAGTGAGTGCACGGGGCCTGTGACCAGCCCTGCTGCCCGGGTCAGGGGCAAGCCTGCGGAGGCTGCGAGGGGAAGGGCCCTTGCCCGAAGTCCCGGAGTGCAGCACTGATCCTGCTTCACGCCCCTGGGGCCTCCCCACTCTCAGTCCGCGTCCCCGCACACCCAGCTGCCTGCGCACACAGCCCAGAGAGCTGCGGCTCCCGAGCCAAGCCCCTACGCCGCCCGGAAACGTGCTGCCTTCAGCTGGGCATATGCGGCACAAGCCATCCGGGACACAGACGGCCGCCGGGGGGGCGGGGCAGGTCATGCCTCTCCCTCAGAGATGTCAGCACTGCCCTCCGCAGCACGGGGCCCGACTGGGCCAGGCTGTGCATCCCGTCACCCAGCAGCTGCCACTCTACTTCCACCTCTGCTGCAAGGGCTTGCGTGCTTCCAGGGCTGGGCCCACGCCCAGGGGCAGGGGGCTCTGGAGGCCCCGCCCTCACAGTCCCCACCTGCTGGCTCCAACAGCGGGCACGATGGCCCACAGAACACAGTAGAGGGAAAGGAGAGGATGCCCATGCCTCAAACACAGCCATCGGCATGGAGCAACAAGTCCGTCTCCAGGCATGTCGGAGTCACGATGGGTTCTCAGGATCAGGGACAAGAGCTGAGGCCCCCATCAGAGGGTCCCAGTCCCCTCTCCCCAGGCGGCCTCTGCCACCTCAGAGGCTGGCCTCTACCACGTGCTCGGTGCGGGTGGTGTGGCTGCCGGCCTCACAGGGCCTGAGAGCTGAGGAGGCGCCTCCCCTTGCTCTTTCCTCTGCGGCCTGATGAGATGCAGGGGAACGTGCTGACTTGGAGGTGTCCCGTGCTGGCTCCCAGCAGCCACTGGAGGGACAGCTCCAGATGGGAGCCACACCTGTGGCAACGGAGACCCTGCTCTGGGAGGTGCAGAGGGCTGCGAGGGCCAGGCTCTCACACAGACAAGTGACCACGATCACAGAGACCCTCCTGCCTCACCTGTGCACAAGCTGGAGGTTCTCCTGCCTCAGCCGGCTGTGTTGCTCCCCGTTGGCAGCAGTGTCCTTCTCCAGCTCCGACACCCGCTTCTCCAGAAAGACAACCTTGGGAGTGACACAGTGGCCTCAGAGTCCAGAGGCAAGAGAGCCTGCATTCCCAGCCCACTGTTTAGAAGGCAGTGTCCACTAGGCTAGAGCTGGGTCCACCTTGTTCATGGAGGAGGTGGGCACGGGGGTGGGGTGGGAACAGAAGGTGAGCACGGGGTGGGGAACGGGAGGGGGTGAGCACAGGGGGGATGGGAGGAGGTGAGCACGGGGGGGATGGGAGGAGGTGAGCACGGGGTGGGGAACGGGAGGGGGTGAGCACGGGGGGGGGTGGGGGGGGGGGGAGAAGGGGGGGGGGATGGGAGGAGGTGAGCACGGGGGGGATGGGAGGAGGTAGGGGTGTACTCCCACCCCTTCTCATCTCCTGCTGAGCAGGCCCTCGAGAAACTTGGGGTTGCTTCCACAGCAAAGCCGCCCTGCCCCAAGGAACCCAGCCCACACGGCCTCTCTGGGAACTGCCACAGTAGTCTGGCTCTGTGATCACCACCCTGAAACCCTAAGAGCCTGCCTCCACGGGCCAGGTGAAGGGCGTCTCTGAGCGTCAGTGCGCCCAGATGGGCCCACAGACAAATACAGGCAACATCTGACCTCTCAGCTCCCTCTCCACACACAGCAGGAAATATTCCCTTCCACCCCTGCCACCGGACAATGCCAGGACTGGCAGAGGATCTAATCACCCCCGATGGCACCACCACTGCCCCTCAGCCAAGCCCGCACCCCATGTGGCCTGCACCCTGATGCGGCAGCCCCCCAAGCGCCCTGAGACCTGGTTGTTCTCAGTAGGGGCCCTCCCTCCAGCCTGCACCCCGAGGCCCACCTTATCCGCAATGTCCTCCTCCATGCACTCCACTGGGTCCGGGGCTGGGTCCTGCAGGGTGTCCATGGTCAGGGCTGCTGACTGGTGCAGGTTCCTGAAGAGAAGAAACAAGAGGCCAGTCCAGAGAATGACCTCCAGCAGAGCGGCCAGAGGCGCGATCACGAGTTCTGGGAACATGGGGGTTTCCAGGCCCATCTGAGAACCAGAACCCACAGCACGGGCCCAGGTCTCTGCCAGCAGGGTCCCGGCAGGACGCTGCTGCCCAAGGGGCAGAACGAGTCCCTGCTGCTCTCTGGAACCCGACCTCTCGGCCTCCCTCCCTGGCAGCAAATGGGTGAAGGTACTTTGTCCTCAGTAATAAAACACGACTTCGTTCCCCTGTGATAGGAAATCATCTCCTCTTCTGCCACGGGCCCGTGCAACATTACTTCAGGATCCTGACTTCCAGATGCAGCGCCACCCACACGTGCAAACCTACTCCTCGTGGCAGGGACAGGGAGAGACCAGGGTCTCACCCAGGGCTTCTCAGGGGTCAAGCCTGGGAAGGTGCACAGACCCAACCATCCTCTGCGGCAACAGGTCCAAGGGCCCAGCCCCACGGGCCACATCGGGAGCTCCCACGGGCCTGTGAAAGCCCCCTCGACGCCTTCAGAACTCCTGCCTTGGTTCCTCAGCCCCTGGCCCCCTAGCAGGTGCTCAGCAAACACATGTGTGCCGTCCCCCTAGAGAGTCTTGTTGGCGGACACTCCAGCAGCTCTCACCAGCTGCACCTAAAGCTCTCAGAGCACTGGCCCGGAGCGCCAGCAGCGTGTCCCCTGTGCCGACCAAGGCTCCAAACTGAGCAGACTCATGTTCAGAGCTGTGTGTCCTTGACACAGCCGCTCCTCCTCCTGAGCCCTACTTTCCCACGAGACGGGGGTCACAAGCTAGGAGGAGGAGTCGACGAGATTACACACAGAAACAGCTCCTGTGAAAGACGTAACGCAGAGTAAGAATTCAGTAAAACACTACTAAAATTACACAGAAGGTGTCCATCACGTGAAAATCTGTTATTAAACATATGAAGTTCTGTTTTCTTTTTAGTATTGACTGAGCTTGTGCATTCCTCAAATTTCTTCCAGAAATGTTCGAAGGGGAAAAAAAAGGCGGCTGTCTTTACCCCTGAATGTGTCCTGGGTGGACTGAACCCAAAAGGTCATCCTGTTTCTGTCCAGTTGCTGTTTCAAACACCCATGACTTAGGTCCCACCAAAAGCTCCTGACGTCAGTGCTGGGGCACCAAAGACCACCCTGCAGAGGAGCCACAGTCTGACCCGTCACCCCATCCTGAGCTCCTTCCAGAAGCTCATGGCCTCCCAAGGGCTGGACACGGGACAGGAAGGGGGCAGCTAGCATGTGGCCACTTCAGGCACATGCTGAGGGGGAGTGCCTCTTTCACGTCAACCCACCCTCCCTCAGGAGACCCAGCAGGAGAAGGTGCCATGGGAGACGTCTGATGCACCAAGAATGCCCTCTGCCCTGTGGCAGTCCCGCTGGCACTGCCCTTACCCCGCCCGGCCTGAGGCCAGCTCTGTGCTGCCTCCAGGTCCTCACACGCAAGCTGACCCCACAGCCACGCCCACGTGCAGGAAGCACACAGCCAGGTCACAGAGGCCAGAGCCGGTGGTTGCGAACTCCATGGTCCTATGACAGGGCAGTGTGCAAAGGCCTGAGTCACCGTGAAGAGTAAAGTACCACGGATTTGGAGTTTCCTTAGAATTCTAGTGCCGGTTTTAAGTGCAACACGGCAGCAGATCACAACCGTGTGTGCGTGCGTGCGTGTGCGTGTGCGTACAGTCTGGAGAACAGGCTGTGTGTGAACCGTAACTACAGACACCTACAGACTGGGCTTTTTCACGCCAAAGTGTATCTGCAAAGGGGAGCTCACATTCTCAGAGGCTGTTTCCAAGGAGCGGGCAACAGCGGAGGCAGCACGGACCCAGGGCCACAGGGCCCGGCCACATCCTCGACGTGGGAGGATGGGCGGAGGTTCTTACCTTCCCTCATCTCAGCCCCTGTAGCGTCTGTGGGGTGGAACACGGGTGGGGGGAGGAGGCAAACAATGCCAAACGTGCAATCCCCGCGGGGTCTGGAACAAACATCATGTTCCCTGGAGTCCGATGCCCTCTAAAGGGGGATGGTGAGAACGAGTGCAGAGGAGGGTGGACGACCTTCACTTCCGCTGGGTCCTACGCCCCTAGGACTACAGAGAACAGCAGGAGGCTCACACGCCACACACAAGAGAGGAGGTGTAGGGAAGGGGCAGGAGGGCTGCAGCCGCCACCTGAGACCGCACAGGAGGGTTCGAGACCACAGCTCACAGACAGCACGCACACCCACCCACAGCCCAGCACGGATCCCTGAAGGCCGACAGCCAGGCCCGATTCCTCTCCGGGAGACCAGAAGGCAGCGAGGCTGTCTACACCACACACCCGCCAGCAGCCGCGAGCAACCTCTGTGCTGTGAGCGGCGCCGGCAGCATGGCTGCGAGGGAGAACTTGCACAAGACAGACAAGGGCACAGGGAAGAGGTGGGGAGAAAAAGCTTGTGGCTCGTCAAAGGAGGAGCCAGAGTGGACCGGTGTGGGGGCAGCAAGGATGAGGTGGTCAAGGCCACACCCAGGAGCTCCAGAGGGAGGATGGGGGACAGACAACCCTATCAACAGCTCGAGAAAGGTCCCCGGGACGAAGGGTGGAAACGATCTGTCACTCTGCCACCATAAGTAACGGGAAGAAGGACTCACAAGACTCATCGTGGAGAGTCTGAACTTCAGGGGCAGAGAAGACATGTGAAAAGCTTCTGGAGAAAAGGTCACAAAGACAACCAGCAAACCTCAGGGTCCAGGCAGCAGCCCTAGTGCTGGAAGGTGCTGAGTGGTTCCCGCAAAGCTTGGGAACCCTCCGTTCCCAAGCCAGAATTCTACACCGAGACAAAAGATGGGAGGAAAGCAGCCAGCAAGGTCTCAGAAATGTATCTCCAGGGCGCCTGGGGAGCTCAGTGGCTTAAGCCTCTGCCTTCGGCTCAGGACATGATCTCGGGGTCCTGGGACTGAGCCCCACATCGGGTTCCCTGCTCAGGGGGAGCCTGCTTCCCCCTCTCTGCCTGCCTCTCTGCCTACTTGTGATCTCTCTCTCTCTCTCCCTGTCAAATAAATAAAATATTAAAAACAAAAAACAAAAGAACAACAACAACAACAACAAAAAACAAGAAATGTATCTCCAGGGCGCCTGGGTGGCTCAGTCGGTTAAGCGTCTGCCTTTGGCTCCATCACAATCCTGGAGTCCCGGGGTCGAGCCCCGTGTTGGGCTCCCTGTTCAGTGGAGAGCCTGCTTCTCTCTGTCCCTCACCCTGCTCATGTTCTTACTCTCTCTCTCTCTCTCTCTCTCTCAAGTAAAATCTTTAAAGAATAAAAAATTTAAAAATATTATCTCAGGGGCACCTCTTTTCTTAAGGAGGAGTAAGAAGACAAGTGGACAAGAACCGTAGATGAGAAACGTTAAGAAGGATCCGGGAGCGAAGCGACAAGTGGGGAAACAAGTCCCGGCACGCACGCAGGGGCCGCAGGCCGGGGGGTGCTGTGCGCAGGGGCGCAGGGGCACGGTGAGAAGGCGAGACCAGCAGCGATACCACAGCCATCACTGCCTCCGGGAGAAGACGTGTCTGAGAAAGGACATAAATGAGCGTCCCGCGGCATCCTGTGAAGGACGCGGTCACCGGACAAGCCCTGCGGAAACCGTGCCCACAGCCAGCCTGGCGGGGCGGGTACCCGCGTGCCGCCGTCTCTCCCTGCAGGAAGCCAACAGGTGGACCCCGAGCTGGAAAGTGCAGAAACGGCCACAAAAGCGTGTTCTTCAGAAACGCGGCGTTAGGCATGCGTCCTCCCCCTCCTCCTCAACTTGGAGAGCCGGGGAGGAGCAGAGCCGCTGGAGGAGGCCGACCCAGAACCCAGACCTGGGCTCCGCCATGACCCTTGCAGATGCTACCGTGGGCTACTGGACAGCAGACGCCCGGGGACGCCGCCAGCCCGGCCCGGACCTCACGGCGAAGACGCGGTAAGAAGGGTGCCGTGCCGGAAGCCTTCAGCACAAACCTCCCCACCGCAGGCCCGGGTCTGCTCACAGCGGCGCCGATTCTTTCCAGTACTCACCCCTGAGAATTATTTTCAGTCCCAACCGCGACAAGTGACTTCCAAAGGGGTCAGAAAGTACTTTGGAGAATGGTATTTTCAAACACGTTTGTAAAGAGCTGTGGTCAGTGACACGTCTCTGAAGGACAGCTCAGTGAGTAACGAAGGTCTCCTACCTTGCCACCTTCCTGCTGGAGAGCCGCTTCGCTGGACTGTGCAAAATCAAAATAAACAGGAAAATCATGTCAGAGAACAGACAGGGAGGAATGGGAGGAAACAGGAAACTCAGGCTGAAGAGATACGGGGTGGGGGGCATGTTCACAGGCAGGCAGCGCCTGCCCCCAAGACCAGCACCATGCACAGAAAGGCCTGCTCAGCAAAGCACTCGGGGACACGGGAGCAATCTCGGGGCCTTGCCAAGGCCAAGGCAAGTCACATTACTCTACTCCCACAGAAATCCCGGACGGAGCCACGACCAGATCTCAGCTCAGAGGCCGAGTCCAGCACCGCACCCACCAGTCCGCCGCACGGGTCGAGCTGCCGGCAGCTGCCACGCCCCAAACACACCCCCTCCCATCACTTGGCCATCAGCGGCCTCCACACAAAATGGGACACAGGCCTGTTGGTGACACGAAAGTTCTGTCATCAAGCTTTGACTTGGGCACTGAAACCACAGGGTCCAAAGTCCTGCCCGGCGGCGACCTGGAGGCCCTTTCTGCGGCCACTTCCGGGCAGTAAGTACGGTCAACCACATGTCGTCTGGCTAACGGAACATCTGCTGTGGCCAAAAGGGCCGAACTTACCTTATCGCTCACTTCTGAAGTCCAGAGTTGTTGTTGTTTTAAGATTTTATTTACTTATTTGCAGGAGAGACGGGTGGCGAGCGTGGGTGAGACAGCACGGGGCAGAGGGAGAGGGAGAAGCAGACTCTCTGCTGAGCAGGGAGCCCGATGCGGGGCTCATCCGGGACCTGAGATGGTGACCGGAGCCGAAGGCAGTCACCTCGCCGACTGAGCCAGCCAGGCGTCCCCTAGTTTTATCTTCCAATGCGACCGCTAAGCCACGGGCCCCGCCCACGAGCGGCAGCCGGGTCTCCAGCACCGGAACCGGCCGCGGCGCGCCTCCCTTCCGCCGGACCTGTCCGACACACCGCGACTCCCTCGAGGCTCAGGCCAGGGAAGGAGCGGCGGAGTCGGTTACGCCGCCTCCCACCTCGACTCCTTCCTACTTGTTCCGTAGAAATGGATCCGGGCCCCTTTCCAATTCCTCCTCTGCAGTTTCTACCAGTAGAGGGTGCTGGAGGACTCCCACGTGTCCACGTGTCTACCTGTCCTCTTGTCCTCAGGGACATCTGGTCCGTCGGGGCCCAGATCCTGTGCGGCCGTCCTCACAGCTCCACCGGGGGTTCCCTCTCAGAGCGCCTCTACTGAGGCCCTTCCTAGTGAGGCTTTCTGGCAGCCAGAGGGCAGACTTCCACCACGTTCTAGAAGGTAGGCTCCCACCACGTCCCCCAGTGTGGGGAGCAGGCGAGCCCCCCGCCAGCGGCAGCTGCCCCTCAGAACCGCTGTTGGGGCGAGCCCCCTTCACTCTCAGCGGCCAGCGTCTCGTCACAGTCCCCACGTGCGGCTGCTCTTCGTTAAACCTCCTCGTGCGAACCACCGTGTGCTCCCCTCTCCTGGCTGACTTCCTCCGAGTGTCACGGAAGTCAGGGTACATAGCGACCTCGCACAGACTGCACCGCCAGCCCGGTTTTGAGGTTTGTAATTTGAAAATAGGCTTTATACTCTTGATTTCTTAATATTCTTACTAACTTTTACGAAGCAAATCTTTCTATAGAGGCTCCCAGGTATCTGGAAAACAGAATCACCACTATAGGCATGTTTTGAGGTTCACTGGGTAGAACATATATTTGACAGGAACGCCTGGGCAGCTAAGTGGGTTAAGCGTCTGCCTTCGGCTCAGGTCACGATCTCAGGGGTCCTGGGATCCAGCCTCACATCAGGCTCTCTGCTCAGCGGGGAGCCTGTTTCTCCCTCTGCTGTTCCCCTTGCTTGTGCGCACTCTCATTCTCTCTCAAAGAAATAAAATCTTAAAAAGAAAGGAAGGAAGGAAGGAAAGAAAGAAAGAAAGAAAGAAAAATATGTTTGACTTCAAAGCTTCCAGACACAGTTGGGACTGAATCACCTTTTACCAGCCACAAGCCAAAACCAAATACATTTATTTCATGACAATTCCAAGGAAACCAACAAGCAAGATGTAGGTCTTCTTCGCTTCAGTGTTTGGGATAAATTTCCCCACAGCTGTGTTGTGAGATTCCAGTGATGACTTTAATGGCCATGAACCCACCTTGACTGGGTCTTCCTCAGGGAATGGCTGAGACTGGGCACAAGGCCCCACAGAACTTGCCAGCTACACGGGGCCGCATCTCAGGCTCCCCCTCAAGAGGCCTGACAGAGGCGACCGTGGCCGTGCCGAGGCAGGCTCTCAGCACAGTAAAGACCACTCCAGAAATGAGAGAACGGACCCACGTCTTTGTGCTTACTCTCAAACACAGACAAGGCATTCCTGTACTCGAACGCCCAACAGCAGGACAGCAGGTCTCCGGATGGGAGGCCAGGTGGAGGGGCCTTCCCAGAGCACACCCGGCTAAACACACGCTACGTGACGTGAAAGAACGGTTTTCCCTGTGATAGAGGCCAGCAGGTCTCTGACGTCCCCAGAAGGCTAGGTGCTGTCCGTGCCACTGGGACCCCCCCGGCCCCCTCAGGAAGCTGCCAACTGGCCACACAGAACCTTCGCCACTCGACTGGGCGCGTGCTGGGCTGCAGCCTGTGCTGCGGGTGTCGCCCAGAACCCGAGAAAGGGGCTCCACCGGACAACAGGCAGGTGTACGGGTACAGCCGGACAGCCGGCCACAGCGACCCGCCAGGGAGACTGAGCTGGCCTTGGCTGCAGGCTCCTCAAGACAGGGGAGCAGTCTGCGGAAGACAACTCCTCCAAACACACTGCAACCGTCAGGATGGCTGGCCTTTCTGCCACACGTTCTGTAATCTGCAGCGGCACTGGGCCCCTCTTCCAGGAAGCCACTCCAGACTGCCACCCAGGAGCACACAGCCCTGATCAACACCTAGCATCCTGGCCTGGCCAGCGTGTGAGCTCTCCGTGGACCCCGCACCCCCTCTGCTGGGCTGGCGCTGCGTGGCACGGGGCCTGCCACACAAGAAGCTACATCAACGACAAGCTCAGACACGTGAACATGGACACACCCCTCAGACCCAGTCTCTTTAACTGGAGTGTGTCAAGCTGTGGGGAGCCAGCAAGAGGAACCGTCTCCTTCTGGAGCGCTGACCTGAGTAGGGCTGGGGATGGAGGATGGAGAGGCAGGCAAACACTCAGACACAACCCAGAGCTGGGAGACGGGGAAGAGGGAAAGAATGGGGACCGACCAAGGCCGGGGGCAGCAGGCACATGCTGGCTCCTGGGTACCCATCGAAAAACAGGGTAGCAAAGCTGGGTATTCTGGTAACAGAGTCTGAGGCAGCCTTACAGAAAAGGGTCCAGGGGACACGTGGCTGGCTCAGTCAGCAGAGCATGTGACTCTTGATCTTGGGGTTAGGAGTTTGAGCCCCAAGTTGGCTGTAGAGAGGCCGCAAAAATAAAAAATCTTAAAAAGAAAAAAAACAACCAAAAGGCTCATGGAAAGGCTTACGTGATTTAAACATACACTCCTGAAAGCTGTTTACAAATCTGTTTTTTGGGGTTTTTTGGAGAGCCAGAGGGCATGAGCTGTGGAAGCGGCAGAGAGAGGGAGAGAGAGAATCCCAAGCAGACCCCATGCAGAGTGTGGAGCCTGACATGGGGCTTGATCTCCCAATCCTGAGATCATGACCGTCTCCAAATTCAGGAGTCAGATTCTCAACAAACGAAGCCACCCAGGGACCTCGACAAATTAGTTTCTAAGGACCAAATGTTACTTTAAATTTCACAAAGCCCTTTCATGTGACTCTCAGTTAAGGAAATCTTGCAGTAAAACGAGGAGAGTACCTCCTTCCGGGTGCAGACACTGTCACACCCTGGATTTCTTCACGAGGGACACACAGTGCGTGAAGCCAGTTTGCTCCCACGGGACCAGAAGCGGCGGCTTGGACGGAGGCATGCACACAGGGCGAGGAGGGCAGAGTGCACCGGACACAGGCTCAGCTCATGCGGGCCGGGGGGCAGGGTGGAGGAAGAGTCCTGCCATCGGCGCACTCGTCTTCCGGTGGCAGTGGCACCTGTGGCCAGAGCCACCGGCCGGAGTGCGGCGACCCAGACCCTCCCTCCGCATGAACAACGAGCACGGCTAGGCACCAGACCGTTACCTATTCTGTTCGAGATCACTGAGGCGAGCAGAAAGGTCCTCGAGGCGGTTGATCTGCTTGTGGCACTGGCTACAGTAAAACTCAAAAGCCTCGTCAGTGAGGATGCAGTGCAGCTTTGCGGCCAGCGGGTCGGTGCTAGAGAGACAGAAGTGTCCGCTCAGGACACAGTGCGCACCCCCAGGCTGTCGGCCATTCCACGGAGGGGCCGGACAGAAGCATGCGGTCAGCTGCCCGTCTGTGCAGGATTCTGGCTCTTTCCTTCGACTGCCGGGAGCCCACCTCCCCCAACATCACCTCCAGGCCCGGTGACACGCACCAGCTCGAGCAGCAGGGGACCTGGCCACACACCTGCTCCTTCCTGGTCAGGTGCTCAGAGGAAACAGGTGGGGCCCCTGGGCTTCATCGTAAAACAAAAAAGCTTCTCTAACAAGTAAATGGCCGGACACACTACTTTCTCCTTTGTCCGAAACACATCACCGGGAGGGCAAAGCACGAGGGAGTCTCAGTTCCGGGACTGGAGCTACTTCCGTAACCGCTCCGAAGCCCGGCAGCCTCAGACACGGTGCGTGCGTGAGGCGTCAGCGTTAACTCTGTCGTCGCTCAGACCTTCGTTAGAAACTCGGGGTTCTATTTGCCTCCCTGTGACCTAGTCTCAGTGGACTTTCAGGGCACTGGTGGGCGCCTACAGGAAGATGAAGGCAGAGAGGCGGCCGTGTCCCGGGGGCGTTAGGGCCTGCCGGCTTTTGCAAGCCCGTGTGGAGTTCCACGGAAGGACAGGCTGAGGGGAAATGTCACTGGTGGTGTGGAAGTCCCACCTGAGACGGAAAACGTGAGAGACCGCGTGAGAGGCACAGACTAAGCAGACAAGAAAGACTACCAAGCTGGACAGACACCGTGCAGCAGCTCCCAGGCCTCGCCTCCGCGTCGACGCCACCAAGGAGAGCTGCTAAAAGCACTCACGCGTGTCACTCACGCCAACTCCCAGAGACGTGCCACAGAGGCCCCCTCCCAGGCCGGTGGGTCCTCTGGGGCAGGCAACCGTCTGGGTAAAGGAAGGGTCACGCGGATGCGGGTTCAGAGATACTCCGCTTCTGCTGTCAGCAAAGGGGAGGGTTTCAAGAGCAGGCCACCGAGGAGAGAGGGGACTGACCCACACCGGCTGCTGAGACAGGCAGGAGTTTCGCCTGTCGGGGCAGGAACGGCCTCAGATGGGCCAGTCACCAGCGACGGGCGGCCAGGCGCACAGCCCCTCGTGTGGACACGAGAGAAGCCCTACGAGGAAGGCGAGCTGGCAGGACCCAGCCCCATGAGCGAAGGCCTCACCCTTCAGCTCAGGCAGCCAGAACTCCCCAGACCATTAGAAGGAAATGAATTGAAAGATAGCATCTCTGACGCTAACGCCACCCGCAGAGGCTGACCAGGGGGCACAAACTTGCAGCTACAAGAGACTGAATATAAAACGTGGCAACCATGCTGTTAATTAACTGAAGTGTTCCCTCACACACACACACGTACACACGTGTCCATACATGCACACACCCCCAGCGGTGCAGGGCTGCTTTACCTGGGGGTAGGGAAAGCGGGGTCTCTGCAGCCATGCTCCCCGTTGCAGAGGGTCTCCAGGGACAGCTCCGCCTCGCTGCCCTCGCCATAGTCCTCAAAATGCTCCTCACCACCTATCACCGTGACGACAGACTGGCTGTGCAGCTGCGATCTGCAAAGGCAAAACACAAGTGACACGCTGTGACTTGTGGGCGCAGAACTGAGGGTGTGACGGTACTTCCGGCAGAATGCGCCACTGGCCACATGTCCGAGTTCGAATGTTCTAGCTGCCATGTTCGAAAGCAGTAAATGGACAGGTGAAACGGATTTTAATAATGTATTTTAACTTACTCCAATGTATCCAAAATATCACTTCAGAGGCACGATTTTATATTCCCTATTTTGTTTTTTAAAGATTTTTATTTATTTATTTGACAGAGAGAGAGCATGAGCATGGGGGAGGGGCAGAGGGAGAAGCAGGCTCCCCAGTGAGCCAGGAGCCCAATGTGAGGCTCGATCCTAGGACCCTGGGATGATGGCCTGAGCTGAAGGCAGACGCCTCCCGGACTGAGCCACCCGGGCACATATTCGATATTCTTTATTTCATAACAAGTCTTTGAAATCTGGGGTTCGTTGTACACTTCCAGCACATCCCAATTTGCTCAGCAACTCCACACATCAGGCATTCACAGCAGACACAGGCCCGTCTCCTGCGAGTGCACCCCATGCTTCTTCCTGGAGCTGCCGGCCAGCGTGGGTGTGAGACTTCCGCTACGATGTAAAATTCAGAAGAGCAGACTCCAACCAGGGAACGTCAAGGGCTTGCTAGCACCTGTCCTCCTCCTGAGAGGGAGATCACGCACTCCTCTACACCCAGCTTCCGGGGCACAGGGTCACGGGGCCAGGGAGATGCCTGGGCACGCCTGGAACTGGCAGAGGCTGAGCCAAAGGCGGGGGCTCAGGGCTCCACCAGGGGCAACAGAAAACGGCCGTGCTGCCATCAGCAACTCCGCCGGTGCTGAGAATCTGAGAGCTGCCCCTCTCAGAAGGGGAAAGGGGGCCTCAGAGGGCCCAGTGACTGTCACCAGGCAGTGAGGGACGGGAACTGGATCCGTGTGTGTACTGTAGACCAACGTGGCTGACGGACCAAGTTCCAATTTCCTACCCACAATGCGCGCCTCCAGGGAGCGGTCCTGAAGCCACCAAGGACAACCTCCACGGTCCTACCCGTACCCGCTTTCAGAAGCAATGGAGTCTGAGCGAGCTGAAGTAGGGATGAGCCCTTACTTCTCACCATCCTTAAAGGCACACCCGTAAATACGTTCACACACACATAAATGAGGGCGTCTGGTGGCTCAGGTGGCTGAGCGCCCGACTTCAGCTCGGGTCTTGATCTCAGGGTCAGGAGATCGACCCCACGTCAGGCTCCCCTCTGCGTGTACAGCCTGCTCGAGATTCTCTCTCCCTCTGTCCCTCCCCTCCCCGTTCTGTCTCTAAAAAAGAATTAAGTGAAAACAAACAAAAAGTACAAATAAATGGAGCGAGATACTCTGCCCCAAGACTGGAAGACCGATGCACAGAGAAGACGCCGATTCCCCCCACTGAACTGTATCGGGACCACCCTCACCGGAGTCCCTGCGGACTTCTTTGTCCAGAAACCAACACGTGCATTCTAAAGCCCCCAGGGAAAGGCAAAGGGCCGAAGGCACCAACACAGCCTTGAAGAAGAGGACTGGAGGGTTACGTACACGCAGTCCGACCTACAACGCGCTGGAGTCAGAGCCTGTGTAGCACTGACCCGAGGACGGGCAGACAGAAGAGGCCGCGCAGCCCAGCCCCAGGCCCACACACACTCGGCGGCCTCCCAGGCCCACGGGGACACCAGACAGTGAGGGAAGGAGGAACCCACTCAAAGCTGAGGCTGAGTCCACTGCAGACTCATTTGGGAAACGACCCCAACCTCACACCCCACACAAAAATGAGTTATGGAGAGATGACAGATCTGAATAGAGAGGTGCAAAAATACAGCTTTTGAAAGAAAACGGAAGTAAACATCAGAGTCCTATGAAGCAAGCAAAATTTCTAAAACAGCACAGAGGTGGTGCCTGGGTGTCTCAGCCGGTTCGTGTCTGCTCAGGTCACGATCTGGGGGTCCTGCGATCGAGCCCCGTGCCGGGCTCCCTGCTCCGTGGGGGGTCAGCCTCTCCCTTTCCCTCCTCCCCCTCCAGATCCTCCCCCAGCTCGTGCGCCCTCTCATTCGTTCACTCTCTCAAATAAACAGCATCTTAAAAAAGAACCCAAACTCCTACAAATCAAAAGAAGGAGACAACCCAACAGATGGGAGACACCAAATCACACCCATGGCCTGTGTTTGTAAGGTCGGACTGGGGCGCGGCGGTGCACCGTAACCACAACGCACCTGCCCAGCGAAGCCTGAGGAGTCGTCACTGAGACCATATGACCTGCAAGCCAAAAGTATTTATTATCTGGCCCTTTGCAGAAAACGTCTGTAGACCCCTGCAATAAACAAAGGTATAAAAGACGGGAACAGGCACTTCGCAAAAAAGATCAAAGGGGCCACCGACGCAAAACAAGGCCCTCATCTGAAAACACAAGTCAGAACAACCCTGCACCCACACTGCACCCCTCCAGAAAAGGAGCGGGCGGCCTCCAGAGGCCCAGAGTCGGCGGGCCGGCAAGCACCTACGAGAAGCCCGGCCCGTACCTGTCCCACAGACCCACAAGCATGCTGCGGAGGCAGCGCCGTCCCACTCCTAGGGACAAACAGGCCACCCAGACACGCGGTGTTTCCAGCAGCTTCGTTCAGAGCCAAAGCCGCGAACGGCCCAGACGACGGACCACCAGCGTGGAACCCGGGGTGCCGGTCAACAGCCACGGCGTCAGGCGGAAGCAGCCGGGTGTACAGAGGCTCCAGTTCTGTGTGGTCACCGGGACGAAGGCACGAGCCCGGGGCCAGCACGGCCGTCATCAGCAGCTGGATACCTGCGAGCTGCCGGCCTGCCTGCACTCACACGCCACTACGCAGTCCTTCCGTTAAAGAGGAAAAACCAACAACTCTGGGAGGCCGCACGAGCAACGAAATCAACACCAGCAACACGAGATGAAACCTAACCACTTCCAAAGCTGGGAAGCATGACGGTTTCCCACACGGCACAGGGCCAGTGCAAGTTCTCTTCCCGGTCCACACATGCCGGACGCTGCCCCCTCCCTTCGCTGGTCTTCAAACACATGGGGACGCCTGGGGCAGGAGAAGGGGGATAGGAACAGAAGATCTGGGGAGGGGTGCGGGAAGACAAGCAGGTTCTAAGGTCCTGCTGGGAGATGTGGCCTGAGCATGGTGCCCTGCCTGGTTCCTAAGAACTTCAGCGAGAAACCCAGGGTCAAGTCTCTCTCGACATCGTGCAGCGCGTACAACCAGGGTTGTCTGCTGCGGGCAGGAATGCTTCCTTCCTAGGCGGTTGGCTGTCGCCGGCGGACACGCTGGGCAGTGGGCACGGGCTCTCAGCGGGACTCCAGGCCACGCTGGAGGGTCCGCTTTCTCCCCAGGTCCCACAGGGACTCCGCAGCACTCTCTGACACCAACCCCTCCACAAACCCACTGCGCCCACAGGACACGTCCCCTTGGTGTCCTAGAAGCAACAGCCAGGGTACAGACCTGCCTGGGAGCAGCAGCAGAGCGCCGTGGCCAGGATCCTCCATGGCGTCCAGGCACTCGGAGGGCACGGCTGAGCCCCCAGCGCTGTCCGCGTCCCCTTCGGCCTGCAGCTCCGGGTGCACCAGGGTGCTCGTGTCCTCGTCGGTGAAGGTCTCACACTCGCTGTAGGTACTCTCAGACCCCATGTAGGCGCTGTCTGTCACTTCGTTGGCCTAGGAGAGAGTGCCAGCAGTCAGGCCCATACCCTGAAATGACCCCATGTCCGTGAACCTCAATGCCCCACAGTTCCCTACTGCAGGCATCGAGACACCACGTGGAGAGACAGCCTCAGGCAGGGTCCCAGCCGCACCTATAAGCAGAAATGTCAGCTTCACGAAACAATCCAACGGGTTCTTTTGGTTTGGGATTTTTTTTTTTTTTTTTGTGCCAAAACCCAGGAACGAGTATCCAATGCTTTTTTTTTTTCTTTTTAAGATTTTATTTATTTATTTGACAGAGAGAGATCACAAGTAGGCAGAGAGGCAGGCAGAGAGAGAGAGGGGAAGCAGGCTCCCTGCTGAGCAGAGAGCCCGATGCGGGGCTCAATCCCAGGACCCTGAGATCATGACCTGAGCCAAAGGCAGCGGCTTAACCCACCGAGCCACCCAGGTGCCCCCCAATGGTTTTCAAAACTGAAACACAGACCCGTGTTCCACAGCAGAAAACCCACTAGAGCAATTCTGGAAGTTAGCTGGGTAAGCATACCTAAAACAGACAGGAGGGTCCCAACACCACGGGACAAATCCCAGTGCAGCCCCTCACGTGTGCCTAGCAGCACTGGGATGACTTTTATCCGAAGAATCGTGCAAGAACACGCTAATCAAAAAGTCACCGTCAGTGCCAGTTCTGTACGATGTGGCTACTGCTTTGAAATTCAACTCTGGGGTCTAACCTCAAATACTAACCCATCGATTATTAACCAACCCATTACATTCACTGGTTAAAGGTCTACTTTCCACAAAAGCTATCTTTGTCTTCTCTTCTGGACCCAGTGCCCAGTGTCTAGCACAGTACAAATGATTTCAACTCAAAGAATCATTTCATGAGCCATTTTCAATTCATCATCTCAGCTTTAATTACGACGCAACTGCACCGGTTAGGAAAAGTAGCCAACACTTCATGCTCAAAACAATCTGAGGTTAACAACTTGAGAACAGGGGCGCCTGGGTGGCTCAGTGGGTTAAGCCTCTGCTCTCGGCTCAGGTCATGATCTCAGGGTCCTGGGATCGAGCCCTACATGGGGCTCTCTGCTCAGCAGGGAGCCTGCTTCCCCCTTTCCCTCTCTCTCTGCCTCTCTGCCTACTTGTGATCTCTCTAAAGAAAAAAAACAAAAACAAAAACAAAAACCTTGAGAACAAGTAAGATTCCAGAAAAGCAGCTGGAAAAGGTGCACTCTGTCCTGTCATTCTGATGTCACCAGAGGATAGTGTGCTCGGAGGTGCTGTGCTAACAAGAAGAGACCAGTCCCCCACTAACTCTGAGGGCCTCTCAAGGCTGCACCCCACAGCTCCTTGCCCCACTGAAGAGGCATCAAGGGCCCAGGCTGAGCTGGTGGCACCCGAGTGCACCGACGACAGGCCAGGGTCCATCCTCCATCCACCGTCCGCCAGCCCAGTGATCCCACACAAGGGTCCCAACCACTCCAAGCCCTGTTGCCTCATCTGCAAGACAGGACTGGGATTAAGAGACCACACAGGCCGGTACGGAAAGAAACCTGGGAGACTGCAGGGTTCACCAGTCCCTGTGGGCTCAGAGTCCCAGCTGTGTGTGCGGCCAGAGTACAACGGAATGACAGGAGAGGAAGGGCGCCACCCATGTTTCCAAGGGAAGAACCCATCTTCCTTGGAATCGAAGGCTACCGAGGAGCCCCTAAAACCCTTCCTTCCGAATCTGAACCCGGGAAATCGCTCTCAGCGGGTCGTCGTCACCGAGCAGGTATCGCCTCCGGCCGGGCTCAGGGCTGGCTCTGCACTCGGGCAGCATGGGCAGGGACAGGCCCTCTGAGCTGGGCAGGCACCCGCACGTTGGCGGCTGAGCCCGCGGAAGAAGCGCAGCGGAGCAGGCGCCAAGTCCACAGCCGGTTCCCAACATCTGCTGCGGGCTGGCTGCTGGTTTGCTGCCCAGACGGCACTCACACTCACGGAGGAGTGATGCCGGAGAACCACCCAAGAACAGGAGGAAGACCTCCTGAGCCCCACTGCTCTTTGTCTGCAAGACAGTGCACTGCAGCCCTCCCTTCCTCACCCACTCCGTCCTCAGACCCCGGAAGCAGGCAGGACTGCACACGGCGGTCCTCAGCCGGCAGGCCCAGCGAGGGCCCCGAAGTCATAGACTGCGGACCCGGAGATGATGTCCTATAGGGAAAAGCACTTAACTCTTGAGGTCGGCTTCATAAAAAGTCCACCCCCCAGCACCGCTGAAGTAGCACGGCGCTTACCCCGGCCGGCACGGGCCCCAGGCGTCCACAGGCCACTTGGCGTGCGCCAGGGCGGGCCAGCTCAGCACGGAGGGGAGCCTTTCTTCCCAGGAGGGGGCGGAGGTGCAGGCTCTTGGTCCTGGTTATCTCGCCTGCAAGGAGCTCACGGGAATTGTGCAGCTGAGGCCAGGGCTGCAGCCCGAAGCCCCCCGGCGCTCGGACAGGACAGCTCAGGGTGGAAGCCCGTCTCCACTGACACAGAAAGCGCGAGACGGACGCTGCACGACGAGCCTGACGGCCGCAGGCCGGGCACACACACTCCGCTCCAGGCGACTCGCCCTCCTCTCCAACAGGCAGAGTGGGGCGAGCACCCCCAACCTCCGACTGCTCCTTCCTAGGAGGGAGCAGTCGGAGGCTCCGAAGGAAGGCGCCCACTGACAGAGTAGGGGGCTCCGTCGGTGGGCGCCTGCCTTCGGCTCGGGTCCTGGGGTCGAGAACCTCGTCAGGTTCCCTGCTCAGCGCCGAGTCTGCATCTCCCTCTGCCTCTGCCCCTCCCCGCCCCACCCCACCCCGCTCGTGTCGTTCTCTCTCAAGAAATAAATAAAATCTTTAAAAAAATGATAATAACCCCCCCACAGAATGGAAGCACGGATCCATTCCTCCCACCGTGAAGGAGAACCAAACAAGAGAGCACGGCTTCCGCTTCCCTGAAGGCTTCAGGCTTGCGCTTACACCTTATCTGTCCCAAATGGTAAACAGCGTCCTGGAGGCCCCCTCCCCACCCGCCGCCGGAGGGGGTCAGGACCCACTCAGCCCGCGGGTGCTGCCTCCCCTGCTCACCCCCAGCACCCGCCCCAAATACATGTCAGCCAGCCAGGCCGCGGTCCGGAGCAGCGGGCTACACCTGCCTGCCGGAGAAGAGCGCCTCCCCGTAGTGCACATGAGACGCAGGACCAGCTCACATACCCGACCGGTCAGCTCGTATCTGCCACCACAAAGGACCCAACTTTGCCCAGAAGCCCACAAATCTAGGCAAATCTATGCTATCTTCTTTTAAAATATTTACAAATTACAGATGTTAAGATGAACTCATTGGAAAATCCAAGTGCATTTGGAAAACTCTGCCACATGCTACTATTACCTTCCCCGGTTGACAAAGGATCTGCTGATGAACACGGACGCGGGGTTCGGAGCCAGCGGCGAGGAGCTCACACGTGCCCAACGCTGCCCGGTATCCTCACTGCCCAGGTCATGGTCCCTCTGAGGGACACCGACTGCTCCTCGCACCCTCAGGAGCCAGCCCCTGCAGCCTCAACAGGCCTCACCTGGCTCCACACACCAGCTCTGGGAAGGCGTGCTAGAAAACGCTGGGGACGCCTGTCCAGAACGGTCTCTAGCTTCTCGCGACTAACCTCGAGGCCTCCTATTTGCTAGTCTGCTGAGGTCCGGCAAAACCTGTGTGCTCACCTGAAGGGACACCGCAGCCGTGGGCAAAGTTTAACCTGCTCCCAGACATGCTCCATTAATCATCCTGCAGTGCTGACCAGGGAAGGGAGGCAAAGTTCAGGAAGTGTCCTTGTTGGGTTTTTAACAGACTACAGAACAGTGGCTTTTGTTGACTTTCAAACCTTTGTTGTAACAGTTTGCACAAAAGACACAGTCCCCATCATTTTATCAAGATGGCTCTTTCCTCTAGAGGCCTCGGTGGGAGAAGGAGGGAGGAACAGGGGAGGCACAGCAGGGACAACTCTTATCATCCCTGTTTGTGTCTGTTCTCTGTGACCCTCCCCACTGCCCCCAGTGATGAGCTCACCCAGGCAGGCTGCAGGGGCCTTGGGCATGCCACCCTCCCCTCTGCATTCCCGTGAATGTGACAAATATTACTTAGTCGTCACCCCATCCCCCTCTTCTCAGAAAGCCCACATCAGTCACTCTCCTAGGAGGCGTCTCAAGCAAGGAGCAAACAAGAAGCAGAGGAGAGTCCAGCAGCAGCTCAGCGGGGAACTGCCCAGGCGCCCCTGACCCACACTGCTGTGTGCTCCATCAGGAAGTTAGCACAAGGCTGACAGCGCTAGAGATCGCCAGCAGAAGGTCTCCAAATGGGATATCTGGGTGTTAACGCACATAGCCTCCACCCACATTTTTACTGAACTTTAAGATTACAGGATGCGCAAGATTTTTTCAAAAAGAACATCTTTCGGGGCGCCTGGGTGGCTCAGTGGGTTAAACCTCTGCCTTCAGCTCAGGTCATGATCTCAGGGTCCTGGGATTGAGCCCCGCATCGGGCTCTCTGCTCAGCAGGAGCCTGCTTACACCCCTCCTCTGCCTACTTGTGATCTCTGTCTGTCAAGTAAATAAATAAAATCTTAAAAAAAAGAAAAGAAAGAACATCTTTCTGTAAGTTTCATAGTACTTGGTTCCAATCCCCTGAAAGTTACATCTAAAGATCCAAAAAAGCATTAAGAAGACATGGAAAAGCCTTCAATGCATATAACTAAGCGACAGAACCCAGTAAGCAAAAGCCACACACTGGATTCCAACTCTGTGACACTCTGGAAAAGGCACAACAGTGCAGACAGCAGAGATCAGCAGCTGTCAGGTTCTGGTGGGGAAAGGGACAAATCCCGGGAGCAGAGGGTGTTGGAGGCAGCGAAACTCCTCTGTACGGTGCCGCCCAGTGAGCACATGACCTTGGACACTTGCTCAAACCCACAGAACACATGGGGTGCCTAGGGGGCTCCGTCCGTGGGCGCCTGCCTTCGGCTCGGGTCCTGGGGTCAAGAACCTCGTCAGGTTCCCTGCTCAGTGCCGAGTCTGCATCTCCCCCTGCCTCCGCCCCTCCCCGCCCCACCCCACCCCGCTCGTGGTCGTTCTCTCTCAAAGAAATATAATCTTTAAAAAAATTATAATAACCCCCGCACAGAATGCATTAATACCAAGAGGGACCCCTCATGTCAACTATGGGCTTCCGTTACCCACAAGACATCAATACTGGGTCATCAAGTCTAACACGCGTAGCAGCGTAGCACACCTACGGAAGCACAGTGTCGCCACCATCTGCGTCGGGGACCGGTGTGCGGCGGGAAGAACCGCACTCTGCACTATGTGCTCCGTTTTCTGCAAGGCTAAAGCTCTTCAAATATAAAGTATTGACTGTTCTGCAAAAGTAACAACAACAACAACAAAAGCCTTAAAAATAAATGTTTCCTCCTTTCTGGAAAAGGAAAAGTCAGAAGCATCCCTTTTGCATCCTCTGAAACATCAGTTTCCTACCACGCCTTCTGAAGGTGACACGTGTGAGGTGGGAGCTGGTCCCGCGAGGGCACACAGAGGCGGAAGCACCACGCTCTCAGGCCTCAGGGGTCCACCAGCACAGAGGCTAGGAGGGGGCCAGAGTCGGACAGGACCCCTGCCCACTGTCCGCGGCTCAGGAGGCAGTCCCAGCCGCAGAGGCTACCACAGTTTTTGGGCCACATGGGCTCTTCAAGCACTAAATGTGTTGATGCCTTTCACCACCGACTCACAGACTCCGTGTCCGTGTCCCAGGCTGCCGCAACAAGCGACCACAGACTGGGCGTCTCAAACAACAGAAGTGTGTCCTCTTGGTTCTGGAGGTGTCAGCAAGGCTCCTAGGGGCGGGTTCCTGGTGGGCCCGGGCAGCCCTGGGCACGTGGCTCCATCCCTCCAGCCCCCACGGCTCCGTGCAGGGCTCCTGTGTGTCTCCCCATCTAAGGACACCTGTCACTAGACTCAGGGCCCAGCCTACTTACTACCCAGCACGATCTCATCTCAAAACCCTCAACTTAATTACATGTACAAGGACCCTTTCTCGAAATTATAAGGTCACGTTCACAGGTCCCGAGTGATCCTACCTTTTGGGAAACGACCACTCAACCCACTACACCCACCTCCACAGAAAGCGTGCCAAACGACAGAACCCTGAAGAGGGACGGACTGGAAGATACGGACGCTCGGGCCCGGCTCTGCTGGGAGGGGGATAAAGGTCCGATGCGACCTGCACAAGCGTCTCGGCCTAAGGGTTGCGCCCCCCCAGCTGCTCCAAACAAGCAAGAAGGGATCCCCTGACCTAAGCTGCACTGCTGGGAAACCCAAGGTAAGTCAAGGTGCACAGAGCCGCCCTGCTGTCAAGCCAGCAGCCCCACTCCGGTGAGGTAAGCGCCTCTCTCCATCACACGGTCTGGCCGGCCACGCGACTGACTCGTGACGCGTCAGAGTCCCGCACGCCTGCAGCCCCCTCCCAGCCACACAGGCTCGCAGCTGCCAATGGCCGGACACAACCTGGGAACCCCAGGTCACACACACAGAATGAACACACCAACCACACCGAACAGGGTGCCACGCCGCGTGGCCCCTGCCCTCGTGGGGCTCAGACCTGGCTGGTACTTCAGGACGAAGCTGTGAGTGCCGCATACTCCCCAGGGGCCCAGAGGTCTGTGGCACCAGAAGTGACAGCCAAAGTGAACCCACGCTGTCTGTGGGCTGGCCCGTGCCTGGAGCAGCCCCCCTCAGAGCCAGGACCCAAGACTCCAGAGGAAAGCAGCAAACTGTGGACTCCAGGAAGCTGCCTCGCGCCACCACCTCACTTTAGCCAGCCACCGAGGCCCACGGCCACCGCGCCACAGCCCAGCGCTGTTCCCTGCACCTTTGTTGGGCAACAGCGCCCCAGGGGCTCCCGAGTTTCTGACGTACATCCTAAGACAAAATGCCACGTCCAGCCACATGGGCCATCCCGGCATCTGACCACCCCTCCACTGGTGTGACACAACCGTGTGGTCTGTCTTCTGTGGCTGCTCAGAGACCTCCCTGCCGTGCAGAGAACTAAACACCCACAGTTACAGGTGACACCATGTAACCATAGCAACCGTGGGGGCAGGTGGCAAAGGGGCATGAGGTGTTGGAAGTCCCTAAACCCAGAAAATGATCTGAAATCTGATAAAACCAGAACTTCACAGCATGTCGCCTGCTCTGGCTTTGGCAGCCTGGGAAAAGGTGACGGCAACACCACTGCAGGGCCTGAACAGTGCAGCCTGTCCCTCTGCTGACAAGAGGCCCTAAGAGGGTCTCCGCCAATGGCCTCAGGTGAGCAGCTGTGGGGCAGACAGCTGCTGACCTCCCGCTACAACCATGAGTCCCCCAGAGTCCCCAGCACGGGCCCAGGGCTGCAAGGTGAGCCCCGACCTGCCCTCCATGGCACCTCCCAGAGAACAGCCCGGGCACCACGAAGCAGAGCAGGACTCAGAAGGCAAAAAGCAAGACGAGTCAGGTCAAACCCCTCTCGGCCCCGCAGTGAGCATCACTTGCCTCGAAAGTAACGAAGTCGTCGAACTCATCAGGGCAGGCGGGCGGCTCCTCGTCCTGGGCGGGTGTGACCGCGCACAGCTGGCCATCGGACTCTGCGGGAGAGAAGATATACTCAGCAGGGAACCCAGGGCACCCCCGGAGGCCGAGGGAGAAGGCACCGCCGCGGTAAACGCAAGCCGGGGCCCGGGCGGCCCATGTGAAGCCGGGTGGCTCGGACAGGAAAGCGGGTCTCCTCCCCAGGGGTGGTGTGGAGGCTGAGTGGTAAAATGTTTGCTTCCTTAAAAACTCGGATAGCATTGGGGCACCTGGGGGACACCGTCGGTCGCTTAAGTGTCCGACTCTTGGTTTCAGCCTCAGGTCATGACCTCAAGGTCTTGGGATCGAGTCCCATGTCGGGCTCCCTGCTCAGTGGGGGTCTGCTGGAGCTCCTCTGCTCCCTCCATCACCCCCCACTTTCTCTAAGATAAATATAATCGTTTCATTAATTACACCCAACAGCATCGTAAAGAGGAGGAGCGGGCTCTCAAGGCTGTGACAGTGTCCGCGGGCTTTCAAAAGCACATGGTACCCGACTCCAGTTTTCTCAGACTTTGGGTGTGTTTGGGGAGGTGCGGCTACGATGGGACAGACCAGAACCGCGCGTCACCCTGGTGCTGGGCTCACTGGCACGTCTTGCTTCCCTTGTTTTTGCTCAACTTTATCTTCTGCAATGCACGTTTTATTTTGTAATAAGGAAGACTTTAGAGGAAAAGCTATCCCATCGCGACGGGCTGACTGTCGCTCCTCCGACAGTCAGTGCTCCAGGGCAGCGGTCCTTCTCCGGCCGGACGGGTACTGCTTCCAGGGCCTCTCGCGCGCGGTCCGGCCCAGCACGTTCCGGAGAGCGGGTGAGCGACGGAAGGCGCCGGAGTTTCCTGCTGTGTCTCTGTGATATCGCCGGCTAAGAAGAACCGTGTCTGCGCTCCTCGTCCCTGCCCCTGGGAGTTTGCTGAGCGGCGGGGCCGAGAGGAGCAGCTGTAGGCCCCTGACCAGCCCCAGTCGGCCTCTCCTGGCTTCACAGCACCCAGGGGACTCGTGCAGCTTGAGGGCTGGTGGCCGAGGGCCCCGATGTGTGATTAGAAGGCTGGAGACCGGGCCCATCACCCACGACCAATGGGTCCTCCCCAAAAACCCAAAACGAAGAGGCTGTGGGAGCTTCCAGTTTAGTGAACAGCAACACGGCAGGAAGGTGGTGTGTCCCAAACCCCAGGAGCGCGGAAGTCCTGCACTCCAGACGCTTGCAGACCTCGCCCCGTACACCTCTTCATCTGCCTGTTCCCTTGTAGCCTTTTAAATAAACTGCTCACTGGTGAGTGAAGTTTCTTCCTGGGTTCTATCAGACACCGTGGCAAACTATCAAACTGGAGGAGGGGTCCCGGGGACCCCGGAGTCCCTGTCAGGTCAGATAGAAGTGTGGGTGGCCTAGACGCCTGAAGTGGGGTCTTCGTGCACTCCGGACAGCTGGTGTCAGAGCAAATTAAATTGTAGGACACTCAGTTGGTGTCCCCAGAGAACCGGAGAACCACTTGGTGATGAAAACCCACACACTGGGTGTCAAGGTTGCGAGTAGAAAACCGATTAATAGGAATTACTTATGTAAAATACATTAGTTACTCAAATAATCTAACATTTTAACATCAGTTCCTTGTTCTCCTTTTCTCAAAGTGGGCTCTACACCCAGCGTGGGGCTCAAACTCGCGACGCTGAGATCGAGAGCCGCGCGCCCCTCTGAGCCGGCACGTGACCTTCTTTGGCAGCTGGCCACCTGGGGCACACGCTGCTGTCCGTCTCCTGCGCGCAGCCAGGTTCTGAAGTCACCACGAAGGCCGGCCGGCCAGGGGAGGGAGAAGGGTCCTGAAGGACTTTCACCACGAAGCAGCGGCAGGACACATGGCTGTCCCGTCCTGGTTCTGAAGGACTCTCTCGGCTTCAACAGAATGACAACGCTTTCCTTCAACAACTGAGTGATCTCAAACATCTCTGTGGTCAGGAACTCTGAGACGCCTACGCCGACTCAAAACCACTTCGTAATACTGATTAAAGCTCTTACACCGAAAACCGCCATGTGGCTTTCAAGAACCATGGGTATCTGCAGGGGGGGTGCATGGCTGGCTCAGTGGGTTAAAGCCTCTGCCTTCAGCTCGGGTCATGATCCCAGGGTCCCGGGATCGAGCCTCGCACCAGCCCCTGGCTCAGTGGCGAGCCTGTTTCTCCCTCTGCCTCTTCTCCCCCCTCTGCTTGTGCGCTCTCGCTCTCTCTCAAATAAATAAAAGATTTAAACAACAACAAAAACAAAAAACAAACCACAGGTCCTTGTGCTGCCTGGTTTCCCCAGGACTGTGGCTAAGTATCTGCGTGGGACAGACTGTAGTCGGTGAGAAGGAGCCTGCAGGCACACGGGTAGAGGACCCCAGCACTTGAGGGGGGCCCTGCACTAGAGCTCGAGGTCTCTGCTGCAGGTGAGGGGCCAGGGTTGCTGTGGACACAAGATTTTGGTTTCGGAGGCAAGGGGGTCCAGGGGTGCCAATTACCCCAGTACAGCTCGAGACTGCACGTTGATTTTGTAAAAAGCTAGACTGTCTTTGGCCTATTTTCTCCTCTCAGATGTTCAGTCTTCCTCGTCCTTCAAAAACCTGAAACACGGAATTCAAAGGTCTCAAAATGCAGCCGACCATTCTGGACGCGGCGGACATATGCTCGGCCCTGAGGGGTGGACAGTGGTGGGGGGTCTTGTCCCACATCGTGGGCCGGGGGATGTGAACAGAGCTGGTGCTGTCATATTCCTGACGGGAACAAAATACTATTCTCCTGTTAGTCTTCTCTGTGTGAACTAAAACAATTCCCATTAAGTGGCCATTTTTAATGTGCATGTTCTTATTCCTGCAGAGCGTGGGGGTGGGCCGGCACGATGGCCTATTTGCAGCAACCCTCCCCCACCCGTCTATTCCTGCAATAGGGCCTGTGGTAGGACAGTGGCGATCTGCCTGCACGGGGCTGCCAACTGGGTCAACACACCGAGTCCCCCGCTGGGTGGCTCCTGGGAGCGGAGCAAGCCCGCCGGCCCAGACGGGCTGCCCACGGCCGCAGGAGCACCCGAGGGGGCGCCGGGGGAAAGGCGGCTCTGGCAAGCACACACTCCGTTCTCCCAAATGCTCTCAAACGACAACGGCAAAATCAGCTCTGAATTCCTTTTATTATAGTTATTTTCACTCTCTTGTCCTAACCAAAGTTAAATGATGAAATCCAACTACAGAGAAAGGGAACACCTGACTCCCTGAGCCCACTCGGCAGGACATCCGACAGGTGCGCAGCTGGGGTGCCCCCCCAGCACGGCCCCCCGAGCCCATGTGGGCACCTGGAGGCCCAGCCCTTCATGCCCGCGCCAGGATCTGGTGCTGGCATGCTGGCACTGAGCCAGGGGGCCACTCACTTACCCACCCTGCGGAGACATCCAGGTCTCCCATTGCCCACAGCACGGCCAGTGTTGTACCCCCACACCCTCACCTCTGCTGTCAGACCCCATGTCCAAACTGGACCCATCGGCCTCCCTACAGCCCAGACATGCCAGGGTGCCACACCCAGACGCCCCCTCCTCCCACACTCCTGTCCCCTCCTGTAGCTGCCCTGCCTCATCATCTGTGGGCTGTCCTGAAGGCGGGGGGTGCTGTGTCCCTGGAGCCTGGAGCAGTCCAGGTGCACGGTGTCTGTGCCCACAGACCTCACGGGTCAGCTGTGCCCTCCCCGGGCTGTGGCCCTCATCGTCTGCTTCAAGCTATCAGGGCAGCTGTCCTCTGCCCAGACACTGGACAGGGACCCCTGTCGCGCAGCCCGGCAGCAGACCACCCCGCAGGGCCCCTGGCCTCCCACCTCACTTCAGGAGCAGGGGTCTGCCCCCACGGGTTAAATTTCAGGGAGGGGGGACACCACCTGCAACTTGGCATCATGTTGAGACCAAACCTCACCCTCAGGGGATGCTTCTATTCCAGAATGTTCTCACCACAGGAATAAAACAGCATTTTCATCTTATATTCTGCCCAGAAAATACATGAACGAGAGAACAAAACACTAAAATAGCAAGAATGACTCCAGAGAAATATATGTTAAATAAATCAGAAGAGACCAGAAGCCAAAAAAAAAAAAAAGAGAGAGAGAGAGTATAATCAGAGAGGTGACCAGAATGGAGCGACGCACTAGATCCTGGGTGTACTTTGGTTTGTTAGAAGAAACTAAATTGTAAAGAAAGAAAAACCTTTATATATATATATAAAGGTTTTTATATATATATATATATATATATATATGATTAAATACAATGAGGGGCGCCTGGGTGGCTCAGTCATTAGGCATCTGCCTTCAGCTCAGGTTGTGATCTCAGGGTCCTGGGACTGTGCCCCGCATTGGGATCCCAGCTCAGCAGGAGCCTGCTTCTCCCTCTCCCACTCTGCCTGCTTGTGTTCCCTCTCTCGCTGTCTCTCTCCCTGTCCAATAAATAAACAAAACCTTAAAAAAAGGATTAAACACAATGAAAAGATAAAATGTAATTGTAGGGGCTCTCCTGGGTGGCTCAGTGGGTTAAGCCTCTGCCTTCGGCTCAGATCATGATCCCGGGGTCCTGGGATCGAGCCCCGCATCGGGCTCTCTGCTCAGCGGGGAGCCTGCTTCTCCCTCTCTCTCTGCCTGCCTCTCTGCCTACCTGTGATCTCTGTCTGTCAAGTACGTAAATAAAATCTTTAAAAATAAATAAATAAAAAGGCCTCTCCCCTCTTAAAAAGAAGTGATTGTAAAAAAGAAAATTAAAAAAGACTTAAAACACAAGTTGATAAAATAAGAAATTAGTTGAAAAGGGAAAATAATTAAAATGGAAAGATGAAAGAATCATGAGAAATACCCCATACTCTAGACTATCTCCCCAGTGCCGGACCGGGGCAGCTGGGCATGCTCTGGGGAAGTTCCTGCGGGTCTTCTGGGGGAGGGGCTGCTGGGCTCACTGTTTCCTGGAGGATCCAGGCTAACTGTGGCCCTGGCTGGGAGGTTTTTGTTTTTAATTAAATCA